TATATGTGGGATAAAAAAAATCCTAGGTCTTTCGAGTAATTCATACTTTTGTAAATAGTTAATTTATAAAAATGACCATATAATTGATATTCATGTCAACACCGAAGTGTTAACTACTGGGCTGGTAATGAATACGGAATATACTTTCATAACTGTAAATCCAAACTTTTGTTGGTATGTTTGCATTCATTATCAATACAACCAACATATACGGAAGAATGAACTATCCAAGAATGATAAAGTAAAAAAACAAAAAACAAAAAAAAAACACACACACACACATATTTATGTCATAGAAGTTATAGATTAGGTAGGATCTGCAGTAAACCATTACAATTTGCATCGTTGAGACATCGGTTGAGTTATACACTCATGTGTCTGCTATGATGTGATACATATCAAGCATACAATAAACACATTCAGCGGTTGTCGTGTGATGGTGTATCCTACATCTGTTTCTCATATGTTGTTTTGAACATTAGTAAAGCCGCTTATTTCCCATGTGTGCAGTATGGGTCCTCTCCATAGTTACATGCAGTGAACGTACTGTGACCTTTACATTTGTAATTGCTTACTTTTAAGTCAATTTGTCTCTGTTGAACTAGTTAGAATAACCGGTACGTAAATGAGCGATTTAATTGAATTTTATGCAATTTTACAAATTATATCGAAAACAAGTATAAGTAATAATGATACTTTATTCGGCTTTGAGCGTTCCTGATGAAGGTGACTTGAGAAAAGCACTTCGGACGCATGAAATTTATAAAGTAGTTGTTTTCGTTTTTTTACAGCACTGAGTCGGTACTTCTGCTGGTAGATTATCAGTCCCTGAGGGTATTATCAGCTCAGTAGTGAGTTTTTCGGTACTGACATGATTTATAACATACTATCTAACATTGCCCGTTAGAATTTAGAAATTGTACAGAAACTAAGGTTTCAACTCCCTCAGACAAAGTTGGCCTTAGATGGATTTGGCTTTTTGTGATTTATAGCTCTTCAATGTTTTTGGTCCTTATACATCCTTGGTTTTCAAATATTCGGCGTTGAGCGTTCCTGATGAAGGTAAATCCAGAAAAGCGCTTCGGACGAATGCAAATTATAACGTGTTGTTTTCTTTTTGTTTAAGAATATATAGCAAATTCAATATTCTGTTGACGGATGTACGAATGTATAGAAATCACATCAATATCAAAAAACAAATATTGATAACTTCAGACTTTTATTGCATATTAAAAAAAAAAAAAAAAAACGTGTCCTACGAATTTTCTTCAAAATTGAAATGCTATTTCAGTTTTACCGATATAAAAGGAATGGGGGTTCATCGAATATTTTGTTTTTCTGTATTGATCATTTAAGTGTCTTGTCATATCTAATAACGCCTAATAAATTGATTTATGGGCACGGAATCACAGTTTTGTTTGCTTTTCGGCTTTTTTCCATGCTGTATAGAAGATTAAAATGTTGATTCTAAAACAAAAGAAATTGTTAACCCTCTATTTACTTTATATCGATAAAACAGAAATATCAATAGCATTATATTTTATTTTCAATACTTTTGTTATGATAGTAGCGTGACATAATTTATAACCTCTTTTATCTTCTCTAAATCTCTATCGACAATTTAGGAAAAGTTAACCTAAGATATATTTGATTTTCGTTTTAGGTCTATTTTTTTATCATATAGCTCATAACGTTTCCACGGATTTATATATCATTACATCTAAAATGTTAGGGTTAACACGTTTTTAATGGTGGTAAAAGCCCTTCGGAAACCAGAAATTTATAATATGTTGGTTTAGTTTTATGTATTTGAAATACCAAGTCAGGTTTGTATCGACATATCAATTCTAGACTAATATGTCATTATTTTTTTACATTGTTTTTCACATACATACAGATATAGACTATTAGTTTATATATAAGGTTCTTACCTGATTTGTCATTAAGATACATATTGATTTCAAGATTTTTATCTATAGAAATTATTTAAAACTACAGTCATAAAAAATACACGAACGTTGGCTTACTGATATATTCCTTAACACAGAAATCCATAAACAACATTTCCTTATTAACCGCTACGACAAACATTTAATCTGTAAATGGCTAATACATTGTTAAACGATACAATTATATTAAATATATAATTAAACCCACGTTGCATTGTATAGACAGTTATGTCATGTCAATTATAAGTATGTTCAAGGAATTACATTTGAGGCTAAACATGGGAAGGGTAACTGTTTGTTAAATTATTCCTTGCAGATTCATGTAGTAATATAAAGAGACTAACTTATCTTCCTAGATAATATTTTCTATTCAAATATGGATTTAGCTTGTGTATGTACTTTGCTCTAAATGTACCTCATTACAGAATATTCCTAGACAGATTTCAACGATTTGGGGAAAAAAGATTTAGAAAGGCTTCATTTGTATTTTATTTTGGGAACTATATCAATGCAAAGAAATAATCAAGTACCTAAATATTGCACCACCTTATTTTTCATATATAACCAAATGTACAAATAATAACATAAGTAGTTGAAATGCAATGTCAATGTATAAATCCTAAACTATGCTTAGAAATGCTAGTAAACAATTGTTTTAAAATCTTTTATTAAAACAAAATACTTTCAGCATTATAAACAAAGAGAAAAAAGCTAACAACAATTAAATTATCAGATTTTTTTTCTCCCAGCTATATCAATATATGCTAACCCAGTTGTACATATAGCATGACACAAGGGTAGTGTGATGTGAAACAATTATTCACAACTAATTAATTTACCAGATCTGCTATCTTTTGATAATATATCACGGTCCTTATTATTTATTAAAGTATTTTAAATAGAACCTTGACACGCCAATATACTTTGTGATTTTCACAAGTGATAACGGACTGATTGGGTCACTCGTCAATTGTTAAGTATCAATACACATGTTAAACATTAGCAACATTGAAAATGTTCATTTACAAATCGTCTTATAACATCATCAGTGTAGACCAAATGAACGACAAATTCTAAAATGAACGATAATCGTGTGTTATACAAATTGAGTTAATAATAAAATAACCAAAATATTGGTCATCACTGTAATTAATATACAAAGGACGTTGACAATAACTTTTCAGTGGTTCGTTAATGCTTAAATATAGATACGTTCGACTTATTATATATATCTACTAAAAATAATTAAACATGGAACTCTAACGTTCAACTTGACTATCTGTTAACCAGTAACATTTACTGTCAATGTATATTTCCCATTATTCAAGTATGATTTTTTGTATCTACTTGCAACATATTGACAAATCGTATCATCAATTATTGCAGTGGAAATACAACTAGAATACATATTACGTATACTGCTGTGATTTTAGTAATGACTTTTCATTTGGGGATAATTTTCTGTTGATGCACTGTTGAATACTGGCAAATGCTTGTTTGTTTACTCTTTCAACGTGTCTTGTACTGGAGCCTAAGGTAGATGTATTTGTTTTGTATTGTGTATTTACTACGTATACAATGAAAATCATTTTACGTTGAAATATGTGGGAGACAAGCAGTTTAAAGATGCACCCTATTTAGCAAAAATATATAGAAAAATGCAAAATATACAATTCATCGCAAATTGGGTTATCAAACATTTGCACAATCTGAATTAACTTTTAAGGATCAAGCATACAAATACAACCATGTTATATGTGAAGCAACGGTAAATTAGGTAACATCAGTTTAATCAATAAATCGTACAACAAATCCGAATAACTAGATCAACTTCTAGTTGCACATTTGTGGCATTTTTTAGTGTTTAAAAATTGATGGAAAACCAAAATATGAAATATCTTTAATGACGGACTATTATCTTAAATGGCAAAATTCCAAGCTAAATTTGCTGGAAAAGTTTTCTATTTCAAACACGACTGAAACTAGTTTGTTTAATTCCTCCATTATCAGGGTCATCAATATTTCATTTTATGATTTATACTCAAAAACAATACATATCAAAATGATTAGATATATACTGTAATTAAATACGATGGAATATCAAGTGCAAATTTAAAAACTCCACTTAATGTACAGAAAACAGAAATATAAACAAAAACATGTCACACACTGTTTGGTGTTATCATTTAATGTCTAACTCAAGTATGGCGTATAGGTGTTTCAACTGCACCCATAATGTCTGCAGCGTATATGTGTATGTCTGTGTACAGGTCTATTTCGTTGAAAAAGGTAATGTTGTTTCCTTGTTCTTTCTACGAGAATGCCAAAGTATGTTCCTCAGCCAACCAAACTTGCCGGGAAACTGTGTTTGCATCTTTAACAGTGATGCCACCAACGACAAAAAAAAAATCATAGAAAAAGATACATAAACGTAACACCAAAAGTATTTACTATTCAGCTAATGCATACACAAAACAGCAATCATAAATATGCAACATATTTTGTAATAACTCCTGTGTGGTTTTTTAACTATAAGTCATTAGTCATTTAAAAAGTTTGTTTGAAACAAATACTATTAACGCAATATAGCCTACACTCAGAAAACCATGTGAGAACATTTTTAATAAATTGAAAACAAATCTTATCTAAACAACCATACTATTTTTACAGTATTTATCCATACGTTTTTATTATTTTTCTGGGTATTTGTATCATTCAATTTTAAAGTATTATTGTAAAACTTTTTTCAGCTTTATATCCGAGTTCCCTTTTTTTTTTAAATCACACACAATCATCATAGATACCATGAAATCGATAGTAACACTTAAGAGCCCTCTGTTGGAGACTAAGCTGAGACTGATAGAAAAAAAACGTTGTTAAATAATCCACTAAAAATTTGTTTATTTTACTACGTTAAAAGTGTGAAATGAAAGAAATACTTTTATAAAAGTCCAACATGTTAAACAAGTTAGAAGTATAAGTACGATGGAAAATACATTTTTTTTATAAATCTTATTATATTATTATTGAAGTTTAAACTTACTACATGTGTATCGCCACTCCGCATTTTCATCATCCGTGACGAATATTTATCCAGATTCTTCCTCTTTTTATCATAGAATCATGAAATGATAATAGAATAGTACGTGTTTTACTTGTAATGATTGCCTTCACAAATATTAGGTTGACACTCAATATTTTTAATAGATACATGATTGACAATATATGACTTTTATAAACTATTTAGATATTGTTACTGCAAAAAAATAAAATAAAAAGAAAGATATAAAACAAGATATTTTGTAAAGGGCTTGCTTATCTGTTTTAAATTAGGGAAAATATTGAATACAACGCATGATGATCTAAATCTTTTTTTAAATAATGGTATTTTGAAAATTCATTAACAACAGTTTGTCTGATTGATAGTAGAGATAAGATAATTTCCAATAGTATCCTAACCAACTGCTTGCATAATTACAAGTAATAAAGGTTTGATAAACATTAAATCAATCTTTATTTAGCCTCACATTACACATGTGAACAAAGCAATTTTCTAAAAAAAAATTCTCATACTAATATTCATAAATAATTGATAAAAAAAAATAATACTACTTATTCCTACAAACATACAACAGGATAATCGTACACACAAAGCTGGTGCTGTTAATATGCGATGAAACGTTGAGAAATATAGGATTCGGTGAATTTTAAAGCACATACATGTATATTAAACATATGAATACAAGCGATCATTAAAATACCCTGTACTGACAACATGCATAATTCACTCGTGATACAATTCAAATATTTATAAACATGCAAAACTGGGTTGTATATATCGTCATAACTTCTTGGATATGTACGTTCTACCGGGTGATATTTATAAACGTTTACATCAGGTTTTTCTTAGCGTATTTTGTCTACATAAAACTGTTACTTTGTACATTGTTTGCAATATATGAATGTGTAATGTGAAATCAATCAATGTTACTTCAATCTTCTATTAACTGATTAAACTGATGATCTGCAGGAAAACAAATATATGTATACCTTCTAAATTTGAACAATATATTGTTTGTTTTTTTTAAAACAAGATTTAATTTACTTTGCAATTAAACATAACACAACGTACCAGGACAATAGTTAACATATCTTTCGCCACACAAACACTGAGCTGTACCATTCACAGGCTCTATATAGCAGTCACCAAATCCACACTCATATGTGATACACTGACTTTCTATTAAGTATTAGTGTAACATTAAATTAATAATAACATTTTTAATACAGAACTGACTTTTGTTAGGTCAAAACCACAGTATACTGCACGTAGCATATGTGCCTCATAAGTTTTATGTAGCAATATCTTTTATCCGGATTGCATTTCATCGAAATATATTTTGTTCATAAATAACATTTCACCCGAAGGATACATGGACACTTAAAATTACTACGTGTATTAGTTGACTTATATTTAGATATTATAACTCATCTGGAAAGTTTAATCCGCCTGAAGTGTGATATATACGTATTGTGGCATTATTTCTAATAGTCCTATTTAAACACAATGTTTTGTTTTTCACCATTGAGTTTGGTGTATACGTGATGATACATTATTTCTGAAACCTGTATCGAGCTTACGTTTAAAAATGAAAGAAAGCAATTACTTCTCGTTACCTGAATTATGATTTTAATTTATATAAGCATTTTTACGAAAGTATCTGTTAAAAGCATATTTAGAAATAATTTAGATTATAAAGTTTTCCTTAGGTAAATATAAAGCCTTAGCCTGAACTTGTTAGTGTTGGAGCACTTATGATGAAGGTAGTCCGGAAAAGTATTTATATGCACCATATGTATGAAGTGTATTGTTTCTTCGTTTTTTTCAAATAAATATCATTATTACAAAATTAATTGCATTTTGTGTACAAGTAAACTGCATAAGGCAACAGCTGTTAACTGGTTCAATATAATACAGTCATAGCTTGGTCTTCAACTCTAGTTGAATGGCTCAGATGGGAATTTTGTTATGCATAGGAAGTAGTTTGATTTTAATAATTTGTGCATTGGAAATAAATTATTACAAAATAAAAGTCAGACCTCTAGTCTTAGAAAATGTCATCTTGACTTTCGATGGTTACACTAAAACTAATGCATAAATGTATTTGCTTCATTACTATTGTGTTGTCTGGAAATTAACGTTATATACACCTTGACAAAATTCACCGGTCCATTGTCCAATGCAGTCACATACAAGTTCATTGCCCATTGCAACACATTTCCCACCATTGAAGCATTTGCAGTTATCAGCTAAAATTAAACAATATTACTATTAATTGTTACAGAAATTGTTTTAATATTCAAAATTCAAAAATTAGCAAATACAGCCAGCGACAGACCTTAAATATATGCTATAGAATTAGCCAAAACAAAAAAACGAAATGCCATGATTATTCTGTTTATGAACAATTTGAACATTGATTGCTAATGCAATTCTATTTAATATCATCATCTTGAAAAGGTATGCTAATGCTCCTGTAATGTAAAGAAAATATACAGAGAAATATATTCATACTTAATTGAAATTTTCCTCTGTCATTTAAAAGAGAAGTGAGAGATTGAATTGGACATTCAAACTCAGAAGTCGAAGACAAAATAAAATATGATTCGGTGACGTCACAATCAAGGATAGAGGTCTGGATTGTCTTTGCAACACTTATAAAATAACCATTGTCATTCATTAAACAAATATTAAATAACGGTTCATCAATTCGTGATTGAGTTCGAGGAAATGACTTCAAATTTACCACTGTTAACTCATGGTGTAATAGCTTCCTCGTAAGCAACAATTCCCTGTTTACAAGTATTTCATGATAGGACACGCAAGCTCTGAAATTAATAAAATTTCCAAAATCCAGCCAGTACAGTGATTGGAAGACCTCTAATGTATGCTGTTGGATACACAGTTCTTTATTATGCAATTATTTGTTTCTGTTTATTTACATATTTACATTAATTGCAGACGCCATTAAAGTTTAATTCATCATCATAAAATGATATAATATTAGATACACGCACCCCAGAAAAAATCCGGTTGTTCTTATGTAGTGCCGACGGGTAAGCAGATTATGTTTCACATATGTCACCCGTTGTGTTGCGTATGTAAGTTCAAATTAGCTGTTAAATATCATTCGAAGACTTAACTTTCGAGGAAAAGAGGTCGGTGTTGTCCTTACTAAAATTTAAACATATCAGTTGCCATTCGTGATGACGTTTCAAGGGTTGAATGCACATGTATTACTTGCACATTTTAATGTATTACCTTCTTTGTAAGTATGATTCCTCCAATAAGGAAATCATTATGGGAACACAAGATTTGGAAACTCGTATACACGGGGAGATACATACTACATATGCTATCACTAGACTAAGATGTTGCTACATAACAAATTCATAATTGGGAAGCTGAGTTTATCTCTGTTGTCGTAAACGTTTGTCTTGAAACGGACTCTCATTGTCTATTTATAGATTAAAGTCATGATAAGAAGCAGACTTAATGTCGTATCCTTTGTATCAGATAAAATGGGACAGATGCGTTCAACATAGTAACAAAGCTTCGAATCTTTCAGTAACATACTATCATATATACAGTGGAATGCGAAGTTGAAAGATAACCTAACTTCGTTTAATTCTTCATTAGAAGCTTTTAAAAGAAGTCTGTCTCATTTAAGTGTGCTGACAAGAAGAGAAATCACACTTTGCTGTTCAAAAACAAGTCATTCAAACGTAAAGAAATATACCGTCAGATAAATCATTTTATCTTTGTTTGTGAGGACACTTACGCCATCAACATGCGAACTGATGTATTTATAATTTTTCAACGCTCTAGGAATTTTTTCAAAAAAGAAGTTATACCAACGAGTTTTAATGTGTACAAACTATCATAATATCATTTCCAAGCAAGTGTGTATGCACTCTACTGTATTAGGGTAACTGTCCCTTTAATTGTCTTTTGGCGGTATCCAGAGGGTAACTCAATAAATTAAAAAAGTGAATGTTAGATATTTTATTTATATGGATATATGGCAATGTGACCTTTTGTTGTCCAATGCAATTATGTTTAGCAGATTATCCTATTCTAACCTTTTTTAACATTTGGAATTCAAAACTAGACAGGAAGAATAGGAATTATGAACTTAATTGTTTCTATATTAAAATTTTGAAATGACACTATTTATCGACTGGTACTACTTACGATTACATGTTTCTAGCGCAGCTGACTGTAGTGATGTAACCAATGTTCCGTTGCTACATTTAGCACTTGTTCCTATGGATGCTCTTTCAATTAACCATAACCAGAATGAGAAAATACTGCAATCACAATTGAGTGGATTATCTGTGAGGTGCCTTAAAATACAAATAAAATCAAAATATCTCTTAAGTACTACCAAACAGCATAGTAATTGCAACATTGATGAATTGATGAATATCAATGCAGATCAATGAATGCAGAAAATAGTCTTTTCGAGTAAAATCTTGCTTTAAATATAAAATCGTTCAACTGGAAACAAATGTTTAAACCCAATTTCATTATTTTTTTACTGTCATGTACCAGTATGGACTCTATATATCTGAGTCAACACGGATTCTGAACATCATTACCTATGAATCAATGCAGGAATCGATGTGTCGGGATACAATTACGGCTTTGTAATATAACAATACGGACAATTTTCACACCCTTATCTATCTTGTCAAAAAATAAAACACTCCTTGATAGTGGCTGTTGATCCAACGTGACGACTTCGATTGAGCATGTGTAACACTGCAGGAGGAAGTTGTATAGAAATAATTAGGGCATTCACTAGTAAATGAATTTTAGTCTGAAGCGGTCATTTTGATCTTAACAAGATCTGACAAGTCTGAACAATAAATTATTCAGTCATGTTCAGTTTATTTTTCAGTCAATTTTCAGACTTATTCAGTTCGGTAAATTTGATACTGTTCAGACAGTTCCCTTGCAATGAAAACCAGTACAGTTCAGTAACTTTCAGACAATTCAGTATGATGTTGATGTTTACAGTTAAATAGCAGCGTCTGAACTGTCTGAACATTTACTGAACAGATCTTAATTGATTGCAAGCGAAACGTCTGAACAGTTCTCAGTTTACCTCAGAAGAAAGGTCTAAACATTGACTGAAAACTAAAGACGTAAAAACAATTTATTATTTAGGTCTATAAAGAACTATGCAGATCAAAATTGGTTTACTAGTGATTTAAACATGCACATCATATCATATGGAGTCTGGTGAGGGTTTAAACACTATTGCAACGGTACTAGCAAATAAGTTCAAGTTATGACCGTCAACAGTGTGGCTGATCTTGAACCGGCAACACACAATTGCTAAGTATGGTTACTTCCCATGAGGAACCGGACTGCGACAGCAACAGAAAAGGCATCAAATGCTCCTGGTCTCCGACGAATATCGGTAGACAATGTCAGAAATCGAATCCGAAAAACGTCTTACGTGCAAGACGTCCTTAATTTGGTGCAAGGGTCTGATGGTGCAACAGAATAAGAGAATAGAACCCTAAAACATGTAGGAAAGTCTAGTTCGCCGTTTAAACAAGATTCATGCTGAAAAAAAAGATGTCCTTACACTTGTTTTATGACGTCAGAATGAGAGGTTTTCAAGGAACCGAGTCCTTGAGGTAGACAATTGTTTCGAGTGTGAAAATGTGGGGTGACATATTCTACGCCTCAAAAATCTTAACTGGGGCACATCCCCGCAATCGTAAAGTATTTTGATCACGTTTTAACAATACAAGTGATGACCACAATGAACCTCCGTCGGGACTTTTGTCAACAAAAATGCCACAATTCGGAATAGTACATATTAGGCATTATGATATAGATAGTACTACCACTGCGCAAACATGTCGCTAGTGAGTAAAGACACATATATATCGTATCGGTGAATTAATTTTAAATTGAGACCATACAACTATTCAAGTGTCTTTTAAAGTAATACTATGTTCAAGTAGCTGTTGTGTAAGGAATACACCATGATAATGAAGTATGTATGTCATGAACATGTACGAGTATCTCATATCAATTGTTATATGTTATCGTCATACGTTTGAATAGAGGGTATTCTACTGAAGAGAATAGCAAGTTGACATTTAGAAAGTTGATTTATTCACGTTTGTCATAAATTCGTCCATTTGTGTAAAATGTCTAAGTAAAAATTAAAGTATGAACCATCCAGTTCTGCTTTTTTTTGTATTATCCTTAACCAGTCGATATCCATGCTCAATATCGATTGATAAATATAATATTGATCTTTCGAGAGATTAAAAGTGAGCAGGTGGACAGTATAAATTTGATAAGAAAACCATGCTTCACAAGTGACACCCGTCGAGTTGCTCATACAAGTACAAAACAGGTTATATTGTTATTCGGTAGGTCACTTTCGATGAAAAGAGAACATACTTTTGTTTACGATAATTGGAACAAATCAGTCGTCCTCTGTGAAACACATAGTTTATAATGGCTCAACCAATTTGTATTGACGTCCGTATAATGTTTGAAAGGATGATTTTAACTTCACCACTTGGAACAATACGGTTTGATACTATTACAAGCCACGAATAACTATGTTATCTTACGTTAGTAACTTTCTAATTACACATGTACAATAAATCAATGGTGACAATTATGACCGTCCCTACTTATTCTGCAAATGTCCCACTCCGCATTTGCATTGGTGCATAACAATGATATAATAACCAACTTTCTACATTTTTAATTGCCAGACAATTTATTCAATTTAATGTACAATCGAATGGGTATCTCCAAATGGTTCTTGATACATTTTTCACTTCATTAACCTAATTAAGGTGACCTTAGTTTATTAATCTCCAGATCTCGTACATCGGTAAAAAAGGGACTGATTAAGTTAACACACACAAAGACTAATGAATGAACACCACGTTGGTCATGAAATGCAGGAGATGATTATCGTCTCTTCACGCCTGGTCTAGCTTCTTTTGTCGGGTAATGCGATTCCCTCGGTTTTTGTTCTGCACGTGATTTTTTTTTTAATTGATTGATGAGATATGGAATAGCGGTAATCTATTGTTGCATTGGTCTGCCATATGACTGATTTTGCCATATCTAGTATAAAACATACATGTATATCTTTTCGACAGCTTTATCTATTTGATATGTAGTTATTGATGTTATTTATTCATTTAACACATAATTTATTTATTTATTTATCTAATTTATTCAATTATTTCACATAATTTATGTTATACATTTATGTTTAACGTTTTTAATTCATTTTGAAAGTCCTTTTTTTTCCTTTTTCTTTTAAAAAAACCTATATTGTTTCAAACAAAATATTCCTGTATATGTTACTTTTTAAATGACATTCAGTATCACTGCTAAAACATTTTACACACAAGTAACGAATGATCTTGATTACACATGTATTATATACATCGATATATAACCGAACTAAAATATATACACCAAACACCTACTATTTCTACCATTTAATTACTTTTATCTTAAATGTAACTTACAGCACAAATCGAACGAACTGTCCATATTAAAAAATCACAGTGAGAAAGTTTCTACCATATTAGCCATAAAGAGCTTTTAAATCATAGATCAGATTGTGACAGGTCTTCAATTGAACTTATAGACAATTATATATTACACCTTAAAACGTGTTTTGAAATATTAATGATGGAACTGTTCTAGAACTGGTAATAACAGTTTATTGACAGAGTATACTAGACAATACAAACAAGCAATAACGAACAGAACAAAGCAAAAAAAAAAAAAAAACAAGATAACAATAGTCAACAACTGTAATTGCTTCATGTACTTTATCAGCTGATAATGCAAATGTTGAATCTTAATATAAAAATCCAACAGACACGAAATCGGATGTCTGCTAGATATATATTCTAGCAATGTATATACTAGTATGTTTTCTACATTCGTAAATATTAATTATAAACTCACAACAAAGACAAAGACGTCAAGTTCACAAAAGCGTGGTCTTCAATATGGGTGATATTGTTTCCACTCAAGTCTCTGTAATAATAATACCATGCATTTTATCTAACATAAATTAAAAAAGCAACTTACTACATCTGTAAAAGTTTATATGCAGACACGTAAAAGAACAAACTATTGTGTATTAAACGGTTCCTTAGAATTTTTTCAATTTTTGAATTGAAAAATTTAAGAAAAAAAATGATGAGGTTTTAACAGCCAATTTTTAATACCACACGCAGATCACATTCTTGTAGATACATTTGTTTTGCCATTATTGTGAATATTTGAAAAAGTAAATTTCTAAAGGGAACCATTTTGTCATTCAATATTTTCTTGATTGATATAAGTTTCATAATATTACATGTTAAGGACAACTATGAAAAAAAAAGTAAAGGAATAAACTAAACGTATAGCAACTAAGCGAACCGAATAACAAAACAGATCAAGAGGGCAACACACATCCTTCAACAACAGACAGACACACCTGTAGTGTGTCAAACTCTACACAGTTTTTAGTTAATAGTAGTTGAGGAGAGATTTAATTGAATTTAATCAACTGTTTAAAAAAATGATATAATCGTCAGTCCTATTCTTCTAATGTATAATCAGAAAAAAAAGTTATGTGAAAATTATTTGAAAGGAAAATGCATGTTTAAAAAACCAAAACACAATAATTACATCATGACTTACATGTAATTCAAATTTGTCATATTGATGAAAGTATGACTCCGCAATAACCGTATCTTGTTGTTAAAAAGATATCTAAAAAGAGTAAACAATTCAATTTCATCATAACACTTTATACAATAAATATAGATACAAATGGGAAACAATAAGTAGTAAAGCAAGTATTTATACAAATGATTGTTCTGTTAGTATTACTGATTTATATCGTATGTCAACGTCTGCTTACTGACTACTTGTATACACGTTATGGTTATGTATAAATATTCAGTTGCATTTGCTGCAGGATCTACAAAGCATGGCTATCTATTGTATTGTATCAAGTTTAATTATAGCATGCTATTCTGTGTGGCACATTTATCAGCTTCATACTTATAGAGTTGTTTTTTTTTTGTGAGCAATTGATTCGTTGATTTCATTTATTGTTTTTGCAAGAATCAGAAATTTGGCTTCCATGATTGAATTGTTTCAGATTTTGTCTAGTCATTACCTTTCATAGCATTAATAGTTTTCCTCATATTATGGGTTTTGCTCATTGCTCAAGGCTTTACGGTGACCTGTATCTTATCTCATCCATGTGTTGTCACATTGTTTAAACGTATTTTCTACCGATTTAATGATGTTTAACCTTTAAATAATGCGTTAATTGAAATCTGACTAAAATATACAGGTACTCACAAATATCGAAGACTTGGAAGGTTTGTAAAAGAGAATGATTCTATCGTAGATATTTCATTGTAATGCAGCTGTCTTAAAAGAGAGGGTTACATAAGTTGAATGTGTCAGTCCTTGAAACAAACAGAACACAACTTATAATTATATTGTTTGATGAATATTCTGTTACAAACCAACTATTCTGAGTGATTTTATAGATTATTATGACAACAGGGATATGTGTAGTAAACAAAGCTAACGAAAGTTATTTATAGGGCCAATATATTTCTATATTTCTTTGTTTAATACACACGTTAAAGATAATACGAATAAAAGACGTTGTGAAATAAACGTCAATTATATTGAAAATAAACGAAAATATTGAGCAAAATATATCTGAAGGTTTATATACAGTCCTCGACAACAGACAGGTAATCCTGTAGTATTTCAAACTCTGAAACATCAGGACCTATATTTTTAATTTGGTCCATTTGTTGTCGAAGTTAACGTCTATTCTACCGATTTGATGATGTTTTAGCTTTAAATGATGCGTTAATCATTGTTAATTGAAATCCGAAAAAAACATAACACAGGTACTCAAAAATATTAAAGACTTTGAAGATTAATAAAAGTGAATGATTATATTGTTGATTTTCATTGTTATATAGTTGTTTCAAAAAGAAAGGTTACATAAATTGAATGTGTTAGTCCTTTGAATAATAGAATACAATTTAAAGTTGCATTATTTGATAAATATTATGTGACAAACGAATCAATCTAAATAAAGGCAACAGTAGTATACCGCTGTTCAATAGTCATAAATCGATTAAGCGAAAACAAATCCGGGTCACAAACCAAAACTGAGGGAAACAAATCAACTTTAAGAATATAAAAATGTTTAAGATTAATATGAATAAAAGGAGAAAAGAAATAGACGGAATCAAACGACCCAACTAATCAATGTTATCTATAGGTCATATGTATTTAATTTTTTCTGAGTTTTGATAAAAGGTCTATTCTTTTATATGTTAAAGTTGCATTTGACTAAAAGGAATTGTCGTGTATTCTGCGTGGCACATTTATCGACGATATGTTCACGGATACTTATACAGGTGTTTTTTTGTGAGCAATAACGTATATTTTGATTCGTTGATTTCATTGATTGTTTTTTGCAAGAATCAGACATGTGGCTTTCTTGATTGTATTGTTTCAAATGTTGTCAAGCGAGGACCTTAACTAACATTGAATTGTTTTGTCACATTATGGGTTTTACTTATTTATGAATGCATTACGGTGACCTATATTTAATTTCATTCAAAATTGTCACAGGTAACGTCTTTTCTACCAATTTTATGATGTGTTAGCATCAAATAATGCGTTAATTGAAATCTGACTAAAATATACAGGTACACACAAATGTTGAAGACTTGGAAGATTCATAAAAGTGAATGATTTTATTGTTGATATTTCATTGTTTTGCAGCTTTCTTAAAAGAGAAGGAAGGTTTAATATAAATGTGTCAGTCCTTGTAGACGTCTATGATACGACACAGCTAATAAAAGTTATATATAGGGCAAATATATTTCTATATTTCTGTGTTTGATATATATGTTAAATTTTAATACGAATACGAAGAATTGTGCACATCAATAATATTGCAACTAAACGAAAATAATCACAATATATCTAGAGGTCAATATACAGTCATAGGCCTGGGCCATGTGTAAATTTACAACAAATCTATGTTTCCGTGAATTATTTCGATTCTAATAGGACAAATACGGTCATTAAAACAATTCAACGAGGGTGGATATGTCGTGTGTGACTGTTCTAGTTTACCCCCTGTTAGATAAAGCTAAAACATCTTATAAATCTATAGCTTGCATGAAGTATTTATTAAATAACCGCTAGAAAAAAATGTGTTGAATTCATTCAAATCTAAACCACCACATTTGCCATTTTTAATTTACATTTATTTTTCGTAAGCTACCGTGAAATCCACTGTTGACATTTCGTTACAAATGAGCCGCCATTCTGACTTGCTGAAATCAGTAAATGTGCCAATGTTGCAATAGAAAATAAAATACAACAAGACCTACCTAAAAACTCCATTGTAATGCAATATCATCCGAATTTGGAGGGTTCACGCAACGGGAAAACTTTCAAATTTGGCATTTCTATTCAAATGACGTCATGTTTTGAAATGACTTTAATGCGCCAAAAACATTTATGGAATTTCGCAGAATTTTATTTCATTTTGATTTTGTACATTTTTCGGAGGTCTAATGCATTGATTATTTTGTCATGCTTTAGAATAAGAATTAGGGTTCTGTAGCTTTTTTTTTCCATTGCAATTTTTAACACAGCGAAATCGGCATAGAGTTTGTCATAGGTTACGATACACGTTGATTTACGTGGAAGGTATATTGTAACAGTTAATAGTATGTACATCGCTGAGTCTGCGCTAAGTATAGATATTGAGAATTTTATCACAATGTTGTTTACAAAGCGAAAGAAGCACGTCGTATAAGACTGGATGTTATTAGATTCATTTGCATTAATAATAAAAAAATTGTCATTAACGTTAACACTAGGCCTAAAGTTCGTAATAGCTTTATTTATAAATGACTTACTTGTAATGCGAGAATTTTTAAAATAAAACATAATAATTATATCACTACTTACAGATCATACAAGTTTTTCATGTTGATAAACGTATTTTTTTGTAATGTCCGTATCTTGTTGCTATATAGATGTCTAACAAGAGAAAACAAATGTGCCTTGCTAATATTGGATTACACACTTTTTAAAGGAAGTTATTGGTGTATAAACTGAACCAATTCAGTCACAAACAAATAAAAGTCAAAAGGACCTTTATGATATGTTTGTGATTGACTTGGTCCAGTTTATACACCAATAAATTCCTTTAAAAATGCGTTTAATCCTTATAATTATTAAAAATTGGAGATAAGGAATTTAATTTCCCTACACGTTACCTCTATCACACGTAAATTGTATAGTTGTGTCATTGAATTGGCCTGGTGCATGAATAATTGTTTTGGTTAACGCGAAAAAAATGTACTCCATAAATTTGCTATCTGATAAAAAATAAAACTACAAAAATATATGATTATCATTCAAATATATGCTTTGTGTTTAATGTTTAATTCAACGATGAACTTGAAGTGAAAATAAATATTTTAAATGTCGAGCCGGTTTGTGTTGTTATAGTCGCCATCTTGTTTACATTAGTTACGAAAAGTAGTTCCGTCTTCGTCGTCTATCGAAAAAAAAAAAAACAACTCCAAGAGCCACTACCGGAAGCCCTCTTTACCAATCGTATGCACGTATTCTTTAATATGCAAATCATATAAGAATTATATACAAATACAATTATACACGATACGCGTCTCCTGCTATACTCGAATCACTAACAAGGTATTGTTCACGTAAACGACACTCAGTTATCAATACTGTTTTCTATGTTTTTAATATATACGAAAAACCTAGACAATTAAGTTTAGGTCGACATTCACATTTTTATAGAAGTTACTGACACTCACTGGCATCGATTGCAATGTCTTACACTGTTTGAAATCAAATCAAAGTCTATTTCAACTATTGGATGAATTACCGTTGGATATAAGTCTTTATATATTAAAACGGCTCAAAACCAAAAGTGTTCTTTAATATTATATACAATACCTGATTTGATAAGTGTTAGATCATCAATATAAATAAAATAGAATTTGAGAAATAGAGGTTGCTATATAATAATTTAGTTTATATTGTCTCACAATGATATCGTGTCTCACAATAAAGTTTAACTTGATTATGCTGAATTTTCGCCATACCATTTTTTTTGTTTGTTTAAAATTAGTATTATAGCTGAATCAAATATACATACAATTGTGTGTTATGTTGTAATTTCTAATATATAAGGTATATCGTGATTCATCGTCCATCACTATCTTGCTTACTGAATACTTAAATATTCTTACGCGTAATGGACGTGTATAACTTGTCGTTGCTATTTTCTCACACTTTTTAAGAATTCTGAATATTGCTTAAAGTAAGCCTGATATACCATGCATATACTGTGTGATGTATTTGTAGATCCATTACTTATCAACGTCAAGTTTACGGATTAGGAGGGATTTTGAAGTGGTCTATAAGACAAAGCTCTACGTTTTGTTTTTCATTTATTGTTTTAGCATAAATCTGAAAGTTGGGATTCTCGTTGGATTTTGTTCAGATTTTGTCTAGTACTATTAAGGCATTTGTTGCATTTTTTTTTTCGCGGTATACGTTTTGCTCATTGCTGAAGGCCTAATGTTGACCTATGCATTTTTTCTCTAACAATATTTACCTCGTTTCTTATGATATCTAATGTGTTATTTTTAATACAGTCCGTTGATTTAAATCAAAATAAATAATCAGCATGTACTTACAAATATTGAAGACTTGGAAGATTCACAAAAGTGAAATGTTCTAGTGTAGATATTTCGTTGTTGTACAGATATCTTAAAAGAGAATATTACATATATGGAATAAGTTCATATCTAGAATAACAGAACACCACTTAGATTTAGTAATACAATGTTAACAAATAAATAAACTAAACAATGTCAAAGATTATTATGAATAAATAAATATGGGGAAGACCATACTCAAACCATATATCTAACCAAAGTAACATAAATATGCAGCACTTCGTATTCAACATCAAACAGCTGCAAAAAGTTCCTAGTCTACAAAAGTTTTGAATAAATTGTGCAGAAACAAGCAAAACATTGTCATTAACACAATCTTCTCCAGTGACGATAAAAATATTAAATATGCCATGGAACTATTGAGGTCCCTGACCCAGGGATGGGTCTGAAATAGAAATAACAATACGTCTTATTACAAACCTTTCCTTGAAGTTTTCTTTGTTATTCAACGCAAATTATAACTAGATTTGTAATTGCTAGCAATAACGGATGGCACCCTTCCCTCTATTGCCAGGCGAGGGGCAGCCATTTTGAAAATTCCAAAGTCAAAGAGCGCATCTATAGATGTCTATTAACATTGTTGTTAAAATTCATAAATTTTGGAGCATGTAAAAGTTTTTTTTAAAATTTACTGTTTCTATGGTAACGGTTACCATTTTCCAAAATTCCAAAGACAGGTGCCACTTTAAGACATGTCATGTTACATATCCATAAAGTTTTATTAGATTTGATCTAATATTCTTGTAAGAAATGCAGCTTTAACGTGTGACCATATGGTCAATGTTAAACTTTCGCCCTGTTTCCATGACAATGGCAGCCATTTTGGAACTTCTAAAAATTGCATGCACATTATGTAACACTTCCATAAAATTTCATCCACTTGGGTCTTATAATGAAAGATTTCGAATTTTGATTTTTTTTCACATTTTGTCAGTTTCCATGGCATCTTTCATCTTGAATATGCCATACCCTGTTTGTAAATCTGCACATGTTGGGTAACATTATGGTATAGTTCCATGACCATCGATTCATCAAGTTCCAAGATATCAGCTGGACAAAAAGCGTGGAAGAAAAATAAGAAAAAATAACTAGATTTGTAATTGCTAGCAATAACGGATGGCACCCTTCCCTCATTGCCAGGGAAACGGCAGCCACTTTTAAAATTCCAAAGTCAAAGAGAGCATCTACACATGCAAATTAACATTTTTGTAAAGTTTCATTAAGTTAGGAGCATTTTGAAATTTTGGACATTTTTGAGAATTCCATGGTAATGGCGGCCATTTTGAAAATTCCGAAGTCAAACTAACTGCAAATCAGCACATGCCAGTTACCATTTCTGTAAAGTTTCTTTGAGTTTGGAACACTTTGATTTTTTTCGCATTTTTGCTGTTTCCATGGAAACGGCGGCCATCTTTTACCATTCCATAGCAAGGTGCACAACTTCACATGGGGTTCCTCATTATAGTTGAGTTCCATCAACATTGGTCCGTTTAATTCTGAGAACTAGCGCGGACAAAAAGTGTGGAAGAAAAATAAGAAAAACTAGATTTGCCATTGCAAGCAATAGCGGATGGCACCCTTCCCCTATTGCCACTAGATTGCAGCCAGTTTAAACATTTTGCTCCTGTATCCATGGTTACCTAGTAGTTCCAATGATTGTCAAAATCATTCAAAGCCTGAATATAATGGACAACTATATTGTAGAAAAATTTGATGACTTTACTTTAAAGCATACCGAAATTATTCACCAAACCCTGAAGTTTTTGTAGCATTTTGACCTTTTGCATTGTTTCCATGGTAACAACAGCCATTTTGGAAATTCCAACTCCAAATGCCACAACTTCCAATGTTGCTCATCGTTACTGTGAAGTTTCATTAAGTTTGGAACATTTTGATATTTTTGAAATTTTTGGTGTAGTTTCCATGGCAACATAGTAGTTCCAATGATTGCCAAAATCATCCAACACCAGTTTATATTTGGCACTTACATTGTATTAAAATATAATGATTTTGAGTTTAAGCATAACCAAACAGTTCACCAAAACCAAAAACTTGATTTGTTCACATTTGTTCCGTTTCCATGGTAACGGCAGCCGTCTTGAACCATTCCATGCTTCGTGCAAAACTTCACATGGAGGTCTTCAATATAATAGAGTTCCATCAACATTGGTCCATTGGATTTCGAGAAATCGCGCGGAAAAATGTGTGGAAGAAAAATAATAATAACTCGATTTGCCATTGCAAGCAATAGCGGATGGCACCCTTCCCCCATTGCCAGATGAGCGGCAGCCATTTAACAAATTCCAAAGTCAAAGAGTTCATCTACACATGCAAATTATCATTTTTGTAAAGTTTCATTAAGTTTGGAGCATTTTGCAATTTTGAACTTTTTTTTGCTGTTTCCATGGTTACGGCAGCCATTATGAAAATTCCAACTTCAAAATGCAACCTGCCCATGCCAGTTACCATTTCTGTAAAGTTACATCCAGTTTGCAGCATTTTGATTTTTTTAGAAATTTTGAACATTTTTGCTGTTTCCATGGTTACAGTGGATAATTCCAAAATTCTAAAAACAGACATCTCATTGCCACATGCCATGTTACAGTACAACCTGTGTGGTCCACCCTCTTGTATGGTCACCATTGAATGGTGGCCATTTATTGGGGTATTCAATCTTGAGATGTTGGCCATTTATTGGGGTCATAAAACATAGATTGATTTTTTATCTAATTATGTTACCTGTTGAAATCAATCAGGTTTGAAGTTTCCACTTGTATGTTTCATTAAAATTTACCTGTACAGATAACTCAGGTTTCTTCTCAAATTGACATTTCACCTTTTCTTGAAAATGTGGAATAGAATGTTGTTTTAATCTTTGGTTAATTCATATCATTTGTTGATTTTTCTGTCTATTTTTTTTTTTTCTAATGTTTTAATTTTTTTGTGTTATTTTTAATTATTTTTTTTCTTCTTATTTTTTTAATTTCTTCTTTCAAAGAATTGAAATTGAAATTGAAAGAATATTGATTTGAAATGTCACAAAATCAAAAATAAGTTATTGACTAGCATTTGAAAACAAAAATGAAAAATAAATATTTTTTCAGTAAAAAAACGTTATTCATAATCAATATTGTACATGATGTACATGGTATTCAATTGTTCGTTTGCATTATTAAATGAATTATTATTAATTATAACTTATAATGCAAATGATATGTTTGAAGGAACCATGAAGCAAGTAATTTAACAAGCCTGTTTCTTAACAAATTAGAATTATCAATGTCATGAATATTAATCCTTTTACAATAAATTTTGTTAACAAAATTGTACAATCTATTATCATGATTATCATTCAGGAAAATTACAAATATCATTATATGGTATAGGAATAAACTATTTTTATATTTTTCAAATCTCGAAACTGGAGTTGTGCATGAAGAATCACTAACGAGACTTAAATTTTTCAAATGGCTACCTAGTTATCATCACATTTTGATAAATGCTAATCAAAATAAAAAAATGTTCTTATCTCTGAATAAAGTAAATCTTATAAAAAGAAATTATTTAAAGAAAAAATTGTCTTGCTTTTTGAAACAATTGTAAACTTATCAAATATGTTATCTTCAGTTTGACTAATTTTGTCAGTTAACAGGCAAAATTTGTCTCCAGAAAAAAAATAAAGTACACTTCTATATAGATTGTGACATTTTTATGGTCTATTAAGTAAATCACTTTTTGTTCTGTGTATTATATTATCGAAACTGCAGGACTGGCATTTCATGATACATATTCTTGGGTATACATTTGCAAAGAATATTTTACTCAACTCATGCCTTTTAGATAAAGTTAATAATTGCAGGGACTGATTCTTTAACAATGTTTAAAGCCCTTGATTAAAAATGAATTTTAAGGAAAAAAATAAGAATATTTTTTAAAATAGAATAAAAACTTATGATGAAAACAGTAAACTCAAATGCTTCACTAAGTAAAGAATTAGTGGTCATAATTTTGAAATAGAAAATGGTGGATAAAATTCCTAAAAAGGATAGATTTTTTTGTAAAATTAACATAACAACTTAGAGATAATCTATTTGAAAATTGTTTACCTTCTCATAATAATGTCACTGACCAGTTTACGAATAAAATTTTGAATCTTATAAATAAAATCTTAACAAGAAAAAAAGTAAAAGAAATGCTAAACCTCTACATGCTCTATAACATGGAACATGTTTAAAATGTTGGCTCCTTGATAAAAAAAAAGTCATTAGAACTGAGGGCAGAAACCTAATAATCTTTTTTCCATGTGTTTTGATTTCTTATAGAATTGTTATTTCTTTGCATTATAATGTTTGTTTTTGTTGTTTTTTTGTCAGAAACTTGATGAAATTGTAATATGTCCATATGACAAGACAAATATTATCAAATTTTTCTGTAATGAATATTTTTAATATACATGTATTTATTCTGACAATAGAGAAATTAATGAATTTTATTTAGAATACATGTAAGTCCTAAAGATAATCTTAAACATTTGTTAAACAATGTTAAATGCAGTAAGTATAAACAATTTTGATTTTAGAAAATTAATTTGAGAAACACCTTTTCAATGGAAAAAGGCAGGCGTTGTGAAAGTTTGCATTATATAAGTAGTCTGAAGATGATATTCATTTATTATTCACTTGCCAAAAAATACATGTAAAAAATAACTTAAATTGATAGAATTTTAAAAAGGTATAACATCAAAACAGTCATGAGAAAATTTTTACAAAAAAAAAAAAGTCAGGAAGCTATATGTTCAACTAGTTTTATTATTTCATTTTATTTTAAAATTTTCTTGTCATAATCACAGTTATTAAATTTGGCAAACACATATATTTTACTTGAGACACTTTACCTGTAAGTTTTATAGTTTCAACACTTCAATGCAGTCATGATTTCCCTTTATCCTTGACTAGTTTTTGATTAATACCTTGTGTATTAATTAAGCAACAGGAGGTATAATGATGGACATTTAGGGCCATCATGGTGACCATATTTTTTATGGCCACCATTAATAAGATAATGTCACAGGTAGTACTGTATATATCAATACAGTGTCATTGACTTTGGTCAAATACTCTTTAAGAAAATGCTGATTTTATGCATTTTCCTATAGGGTCAATGTAAAACTTGCCCCAAGTTTCCATGACAACGGCGCCCATTTTGGACTATCCAAATATTGTCTTGACATCTTAGCATACTGGGTAACATTTTCATAAAGTTTTATCCAGTTGGGTCTTATAACGAAAGAGTTAGAATTTTGCTATTTTAGCTGTTTCCATAGTAACGGCAGCCATTTTGAAAATTCCGAAGTCAAACTGCAAATCAGCACATGCCAGTTACCATTCCTATGGAGTTTCTAAATTGATTGTGGCCAATTTTTTTTTTCAATTTGGCCAAAAGGTTTCAGTGGAGTAGATTTTTTATAAAAGTTAATGAATAGCGACGAGCGCAAAGTGAGGAGAAAATCTCACTTAACCCTGTGGGTCAGGTGAGCTAAAAATCTATGATAATGAATTTAAATCCGAAATCACAAATTACAAAAAAAAAAACTGTGATGACTAATTTCACGAATTCGTTATCACAAATATAATCCGTTTTAACCAATTATACAATTCGTTATAACGATTTGAATGCGTTTTAACAAATTACAAAAAATTGTGATAACGAATTGAATTCGTAATTACGAATTACAAGATCTGTTATAACGATTTCCACCAATTCGTTATCACACATTTAATCTGTTATAACGAATTATACAATTTGTGATGTTGAATACGTAGAATCGTCAGTAATTATAAAACCAAGAAGGGTCTTACACCCTTACACAACTTTGCCTGATGGCATATATTTCTTTATTTAATGTTTATGCATCGTGGGGTTTGAGAAAATTGTGTTTCGATTCTTGCTGGCACAACGGCACCAACTACGTATGATACCCTTGAGGACTAACAGTATCTATCTAGTGCTAGTACAGAAGTACCGACTAATGAGCATAATCATACCCTTACTGATTATTAGTACGCCAATATTGCTATGGAACCAGTGTTAGTACAGAAGCATCGTCTTATGTGCTAATTATACAGTCGGGACCAAACAGTAACCCAGTAGTGGTTTCAGCTTATTGTTAGTACAGAAGTACCGAATAATGGCCAATGATAGTTTCTAGAATTACAATATACCAGTATTGATATCGACCCAGTGCTGGTAAGGAAGCACCGATTAATGAGCTTATAACACCCTCGGGCACTGACGGTACATCAAAACTGTATTGCTTCATTGCTAGTACCGAAAAAAAAAACACTAGTTAGCTGATAATACAGTTAGTCTTACAGATCTGTGACACCATTGTGGGTTCGATGATAAAAGCACCAAATTTGGCACGGTAGTTGTTCTGGGTGTTTCAAACATTATTATCCATGTACCCAACTTGAAATTTCAACATGATGGTTGTTTCCAAGATGGCCGCCATAAAATATCAAAATCAACATATATCACTTATATAAGGTCACATTTAAGGTCTAATTTGGCATGGTAGTAGTGCTGGATATTTCGAAAAATATTTTCTATAAACCGACCTTGAAATTTAATATGACAGCCTTTTCCGAGATGGGCAACACAAAATATCACAATCTACAAAAATCCCTTAAATAAGTTCAAATTTGTCATGTAAGTAGTGCTAGATACTTCGAACAATATGAACTCTGGACCCCAATTAAAATTTCAATATGGCGGCTTTTTACAGGGTGGTCGCTATAAAATATCAAAATCAACAAATATCTATTATAGAAGGTTACAAAGTGTGTGTTTTTGACGTACCTTCAGTAAAACTAAGTGTCCTATACCATACCATTTATAAAATATAGTCAAACATCAAAAGATTTGAGAGGAAAGTATAGAAAATCTTAATTACGGTACTATTCTTGCAGAACAGTAGTATACAACGAAGGATCAAATTTAGACACTGGTGTTATTCCAATATTTAAGCTAGACTTTACTAGAATGTATACTTCTCGACTCGAACAGTTTTCTTTATAATCAACTGCTAGAGGACATAGTAATGATTTAAATAAAATTGCAGTAATCTCAAGATTACCAGGCCATTAACAAGGCAGTCGATTGCTTCTTCAGTTTAATGATAATTTTGGTGTTGCAATCAAATTAGCAACCGCAACAATCTAATGACAAAGATACTTGAAAAAGTTACAGGTAGTTCAAAACGACATGAGGTAGGCAAACATATTTTCCAAAGTCAATAAAACATTAGTCGATAATCGTTTGGCCGAAAGTTCAGATGCAGTGGAGTTATTCCAAATATGACGCTATCCATTTCAAAGTTACTTCTGTCAGTTTTCTCTACTCTTCTTTACTATTAACATTCAACTGAACTAAAACAATATCTTAATGTAATAAAGCTTTCTTCTGGATGTTAGGACCCGGAACGGAAATATTAAATGACCAAATGCACAGTTTACGTTTGTCGTTTATGAATGATCTAATTATCCATTTATCTACAGTTCTAGAAGGATCCGTGGAATATGTGGTTCCTCCCTCGAATCCTGGAGGTGTCATAACAGCAGCCATGGACAATATTGACATCAAAAAGATTTCAACTACGGCTAAAGAATTTTAACATAGTGCGAGACTTTCATCTATCCCATCGAACTTGAGATAAAGGATACAACAGATACAGTTAAATCTGCCTCATACCTTGACTTACATCTAGAAATGGACAATGAGGGTCGGTTGCAAACAAAACGTTACGACAAAACAGATGATTTCAGCTTCCCAATTGTGAATTTTTCATTTCTATGTAGCAACATTCATACGGTGTATATATCTGCCAGTTGATACGATATTCCAGGGCTTGTATTACCTATCATGATTTCCTTGATAGAAGGCTATTGCTCACACGGAATCTATTAAACCACGAGTTCCAAGTGGTGAAGTTGAAGTCATCCCTTAGTAAATTTTTACGGACGCCATCACCAGTTGGTTGACCGTTATTGAATATCCGTTTCACATATGATAACGGATATGTTCCTAATGTTGTAACTACAATCCCGTCCCAATTTCCCGAATGTGTCCTACCGAATTAGACGCATTAGCAGATGTGTACTAACATGAGCAACACGACGGGTTCCGGTTGTGGAGCAGGATTTGCTTACCCTTCCGGAGCACCTGAGATCAACCCCAGTTTTTGGTGGAGTTGGTGTTGCTCAGTCTTTAGTTTTTTATGTTGTTATCCATATATTATGCGCGAACACAACTGTATGTATTATTGATATAACCTAGTATATATATATATATTACTTTAAAGTAAAATATATCCATAATACTAACCAAGTATAACCGTGTGATTCATATCTACATTAAAACTTAATAAAATATGAAACGATTAGTAGTAAAGCAAGTATTTATACGATTGATTGCTCTGTTAGTATTACCGATTGATATCGTATGTCAACGTCTCCTTACTGAATACTTATATACACGTTATAGTTATGTATCTGCAAAGCATGGCTATCTATTGTATTGTATCAAGCTTTATTTTAGCATGCCATTCTGTGAGGCGCATCTATCAACGTGATCTTTACGGATACGTATAGAAGTTTATTTTGAGAGCAATAGCGCATAATCTAGCTCGTTGTTTTCGTTTATTGTTTTTGCAAGAATCAGACATTTGGCTTTCTTGATTGTATTGTTTCAGATGTTGTCTAGCCAGGAAATTTACTAACATTGCTTGTTTATGTCAGATAATGGGTTTGGTTATTGATAAAGGCCACACGGTGACCTATATTTAATTTCACCATGTGGTCTGAGAGTTAACATCTATTCTACCGATTTTATGATGTTTTACTTTTAAATAATGCGTTAATTGAAATATGATTGAAATATATAGGTACTCACAAATATTGAAGACTTGGAAGATTCATACAAGTGAATGATGATATTGTCGATATTTCATTTTTGTGCAGCAGTCTTAAAAGAGAAGGTTAAATACGTTGAATGTGTCAGTCCTTTAAACAAACATAACAAAACTTAAGAATTATATTGTTTACTGAATATTGTGTTACAAATGAACTAATCCAAGTAACATTAAATATTATTATAAAAAAAATGATATGTGTGGTAGACGTCACTTATATGACACAGCTAATCAAAGTTATCTATAGGGGAAATATATTTCTATATTTCTGTGTTTGATATACATGTTAAAGATTAATACGAATACAAGAAATTGTGAAATAAACGTCAATTATGTTGCAACTTATCGAAAATAATAATAAAATATATCTATAGGTCAATATAAAGTCCTCGACAACAGACAGGTATCCCTGTAGTATGGCAAGCTGTGAAACGTCACGATTATATAATAGTTGTCATTGGATTCATCTGCATTAATAAGAAAAACTCGGTCATTAACTTTAACTTTAACATAAGGCCCAATGTTTGTAATAACTGTATTTATAAATAAGTTACTAGTAGGGATAATGCAAGTTTTTAAAAACAAAGCATAATCAATAAATCACTACTTACAGTTGAAGCAAGTTTGTCATGTTGATAAACGTATTACTTTCTAATGACCGTATCTTGTTGTTATATAGATATCTAAAAAGATAAAACAGACGTGCTTTGATAAAAACAAATACACGCAGTTCAAGAAAATGATATTAATCGGGTACAAAAGTTTACAGATGTTCAAATCTTTTAAATCTTGTAAAAAAAGACAAATCGAATGTACACCTAGACTTGTAAAATGTATTGGTCTACAAACGGACGGATAATTGGTGCTTCAACACGATACGCGGCTATACTTGCATAAATAACAAGGTATTGTTCACGTAAACGACACTCAGTGAGCAGTGTTGTCTTCTATGTTTTTAGCAGATATGAATAAGCTAGACAATAATGTTCAAATCGACATTTAAACATTTATAGAAGCTACTGACACTTATTTGTATGGAATGCAATGCATTACACTTGCTCAAATCAAATCCTAGTCTATGTCAACTTATGAATGAATTACCATTGGAAAGGAGTCTTTACATATTATTACAACTCAAAAATAAAAGTGTTTGTTAACATTAAAGATAATACCTGATTTGATACGTGTTAAATCATAAGAAAACAAAAATACCAGATGTTGTCATATAATAAGTCAGTTTTCATTTTCTCACAATGATGTCGTGTCTTACAGGAGAGTTTTGAACTTGATCATGCTTATTTTTTGCCAAACAGTTATTTTAATCATTTGATTTGATTTGATTTTTGGTGTTTTAACGCCACTTGTAAGCACCGCTTTTGGGCTATTTCGTGGCGGCCACTTTTTATTGGTGGAGGGAGCCGTAGTTCCTGGAGAAAACCACCGACTTTCGACAGGAAAACTGACAATCCTAGTCAATAAAGATTGGAGTCGAGTGCACCCGCACGAGCGGGGTTCGAACTCACAACTTCAGTGTTGACTGTCTAGATCAATAGCAAAATCAATCATTCATGCGCTTGTTTGTTCTGTTGTAATGTCCAATATATAATGTATAGCACAACTCATCGTGCATCAACATCTTGCTTACTGAATACCTATATACCTCCCCCCCCCCCTAAAATGATATGTCATGTAGACGTCAATCAAACGTCACAACATCACCAAAGTAATCTAGAGTATAGCTCACTACTTAATAACATGCAGCTTTCCCTACATTATGTCAGGCTCTTAAAAGTCTACAAAAGTGGCAAATAAATTGTACAGAAATGTGCAAAGATCTGTCATTAACACAGTTTCCTCTACATGGCATAACACATATCGATATGACATACGATAATTACTTTCGTTGTTATTTAGCGCAAAATAATTATAACAGATACCTGGGACGATCACACGTCATAAGGGTATATTTCTACAGAAAAAAGAAAGGATATTGGGCATCCATCCATGACACAAAAGCAGTATATGCACAGCAAAAAACTCAAACATTTACATATTCTGTTTACTTATTGCATTGCGAACTCATTAACACAACGTAGGTGTTTTACTTGAGGTTATATTTGCAAAATGTTAATCGAGCATGACACATTTAGAGGAGAACCAATATTTTAGCTTTATTTAGTAATCTATACAGTTTAATGTAGTATATGTTTAACTGACTCAACAAGATTTCCTCTGTTTAAATGTTAAATTGTGAAAGCGGATGTTTAAAACAATTTGACAAGTCTTAATTAGCTTTTACATGGACACATATCTTAAGAATTATCAAAGAATAAAATCTTGACGATCGATTTTGCTTCATCCGACATTAAAGGTGCATGATGGTTGCTAAAAATTCAGGTCAATGTAACATACAACTTAGTTTCGGATTTCCAATTGTAATAATTCTAAAATAAAAATGTAGAAGGGTCACATAGTGCAATATAGTGTAAAACGAAAACAAAAATGGACTGACTTATTATCAGATGGTTAAAGCCCAGTAATGCGATCATACTCATGTGAATAAAATCGCTTTACAAGAAGATATACAGGCCGTTGATTTTTTTTTCTGCCAGTTAAACGTAAGTTTAAGATTATCATATATAATGTTTTAGAAAATGTAGTCTACAATCGTGCATATGATTTATTACTTTGAATAGATTACCTACCAATCTAAAACGTTGTTTGTAACACTGTTACTTTTGATTTTTAGTAGTAGTCTACGTACTATTTTGGAATATACAAGTTGACTGTTTTCTATCGACGAAGATTGTTTATTGACGTCAATATCTGTTAATAAAACTGTCCAAGTATTGCAGCACTACTTATGATAGTTACCTAGAATTCCTATTAATAAGTAATATGAATACATTGTACCCCATCCAGCAAACAAGGTAAGTGAGTAAAACGAATTTAGAAAATTACTATCGAAAACATTTCGACTAATTTATTGATCTTTTTCTAGGTAATTACACATGCATTTACGATTTCGAGATTATCTTTATCCATAATAGTGTTCATCAAGACAATAAAGGGTACCATGTTCTTTAAGGGTATACCATACAGTATAGATCCCTTGTTGATTACATTAACATGCTGTAACAAATTGAAGGTTAAACTCAATAATCATATTCTGAATATATATTACTATTAGTTAAATTAAAAGGTTGACAATATTTTAACGTCTACACAGAAGTGCAGAAAAAATCCATCGTTTTATTTTTCTTAAAATTATGGCAGAGCTGTCTTGAAACCGTACTTGATTGATTGCAAAAGAAAAAAAAATAGGGGTCCATTTGCTTATTTTTTCAATAAAAGCAATAAACCTTGATTTTTTAATTGCAGACGTGAAGTATGCCAATATGGCGCTAAATTACATTGGAATAAGTTTTAATCGCAACAACGTGGCGCAATTATTCCCGCCGTACACGACTACGCTGTCAAGTTCAGTGGTATAGCCAAGGAGTTTTTGCAATGCAACGATATAAATCATCAAAATTTATAAAGCTGGTAACTCGTAAAATAGCATGAACTATTTGCAAAACCTTTCTGAAATGTTACGAAACTTGGGAAAAAACTTCTTCATAATCAAGAAATAGCATCTTAAAAAGTATTCTGACTAGTAAATTACTTTGAGAAATGTACAGAAACAAAAAAAAAAAGATGAATCTGATAAGAGCATTAATTTACATCTCTGTCTGACATTAGTTTTGAATTGCTTCACGTGAACAACACAGCTTGAGCATAGTTTTAATTATACAAAAGGCCCAAACATGACAAAATGTGAAACAGTTATAAAGTAAGTGGGATAATATAAAATAAGGACATTTGGTATGATTGCAAATAAGACAACTATATACCATAGTTCAAATGACGAAGACAAAAGCAATAAAAGGCCACCGTACGGCCTTCAACAACAAAAAAACCCGCACCGTATAGTAAGCTATAAAAGGCCGCGACATAAAAAAATGTGAAACAATTCAAACGAGAAAACTAACGGCCTAATTTAAATTTTGTTTTACGTTTCCTGTATGTTTCAGTTCACTTCTTTGGTCGTTGAATTTATCAAATATGATAAGAGGTATATCATCTCACTTCAAATTCCTTTTCCTTTTACATTCAAAAGACAATCTTCTTTAAAACTTTAATTACAAGAAGAGACAAAGATATAAATCAACTGAAATGTTCCTCGTTGGAAACTTGGTATAGTTAGTTACCTGGATTGAGGCTAAAAAGAAAATATCTCTGGACACTTGTGGTTTTGAAAAATTATAAATTGGAGAATGGAAACAGGGAATGTGTCAAAGAGACAACAATCCGACCAACAAAAAGAAAACAGCCCAAGGTAACCAATGAATCTTCAACACAGCGAGAAAATCTCGCACCCGGAGGCAGGCTTCAGCTGGCCCCTAAATAAAAATGTGTACTAGTTCAGAGAAAATGGACGTCACACTAAACTCCAAAACATAAAAATGAACCAAAATAAAAAAAAAAAACATACAAGACAAACAAAGGCCAGAAGTTCCTGACTTGGGACAGACGCAAACATGCGGCGAGGTTAAACATGTTGTGTGAGATCTGCATGTATATCAGCTAATTTCTGTGTGCCGATACTACAATGTATACCGGGTCTATTATAAATGTGTCTTTTTAATTGACAGTTCTTCTACATGCAAATATATATTCCAATTGTTTAAGTTGGCAACTTTTATTGTACCTTTTCAAAGTCAGGAACAGTATGAGTCGTTGTCTGTATTTATTATGTTATTTTGTAATTTTGTTGATCGTTTCTGTTAACTTTGTCCGTACAATGACAGTTCTCCATAAGATTTATAGTTTCTGTCTCATAGACGTATTTTTATTTACATATCTTTCTATTCATTTCCTATCTTAGATGAAAATCACACACAAAATTGTAAATGTTGATGATTTTTTTACATTTCAATATAATACTGTTGACTTCATTATTATTGAATAAATATAACAATTCTCGTGCCCCTGCTACTGTATCGTATGCCCTTAAGGACAAGCAATCAACAAAAGATTTCGGCCTTTTTACATTCGTAAATCAAATGAACACAGTAGTTCGTATTACTAAATACATCCGTGGTTTAAATATGCTGACATCATACAGATATGTTGTCAAAACGTTTTGAAAAGATGTTCATATAAAATAAGGATTGTCTCTCCTCTGTTTCATAATAATAAGCTTTGTGAAGTTTTGTTATAAATTGATAGTATATAATTTATAAACAGAACAAAATGAAAGTTCCATGCCCTTGTTTTTTGAGATATAATCAATTGAAGTTTGGCGGGAATTTATTATCTCTAGACTTTTCATATATTCAACATTGGCACCTTTCATTTTCGAAAAACTATGAAAAAATTAAACGGATTTCATACTGATTTCAAAAATGGTTTTTTAAAGACTATGTAAGAAAATATTGAAACTCAGAGTAGGGGTTAGACAAATTTTTAATGACAATGCCTCGATATAAAACTAGTTGAACTCGATCATGCTTATTCTTCGAAATATCGTTATTTCAATTCTTTGAACAATTAGTTCTATAGTAAAATCAATTTGATTATTTTCAATGTATAATGTATAGCACAACTCATCGTGCATCAACATCTTGCTTACTGAATACCTGTATATTCATACGCAAGATGGACATGTATAAACATTACGTTGCTACTTTTTAGGAACTAACAAAGCAAGGCTTTCGGAAATTCTTAATAAAGCTTGATGTTAGCATGCTATACTATTACTTATCAACGTCCTGTTTACAAAATATTTATATCGGGATATTTGTGATGGGCAATAAGGCATCGTTTAACGTTGTGTGATTCGTTTATTATTTTATCCTAATATCGGACAGTTGGGTTTCTTGTTTGATTTTTTTTCAGATTTCTCTGAGGCCTTAAGTAACATTTATAGCTGTCTTCGTTGTATGTGTTTAGCTCAATGCTATAGGCCTTACGTTAACTTATATTTGATAACATCCATACGCTGTCAGGTTTTTCGTTGTTTCTTCCAATTTCCGATGTTTGGCTTTAAGACAATTCGTTGATTAAAATTAAAAGAAATAGTAAACAGGTACTCACAAAATTTGAAGACTTGGAAGATTCACAAAGGTGAACGGTTCTATTGTAGATATTTCATTGCTATACAAATATCTAAAAGAGAAATTACATAATTATAATATGTTCATCGATTAAATAACTGCACACAATTTTTAATTGCAGAATGTGATGATTATAATGTTACCAGACAAATAAACTAAAAGATTATCATGATTATCATGAATACAATGATGGTTGATGAAGACGTCAATCAAACGTCACAACATAACAACAAAAATCTAAAGTATAGCCTACTACTTAATAACATACAACTTTCCCTACATCATGTCAGACTCTGAAAAGTACTAAGTCTACAAAAGTGGCAAATAAATTGTACAGAAACGAGCAAAGATCTGTCATTTAAATAGTTTTCTCTAAATGACGTAAAACATATAGATATGACATAAGAGCATTACTGTAGTTGTTATTCAGCGCAAACTAATTATCACAGATACCTGGGACGATCACATCTCATTAAAGATAAAGTAAAATCACAAAAATACTGAACACAGAGGAAAATTCAGAAAGGAAAGTCCCTAATCAATGGCAAAATCAAAAGCTCAAACACATCAAACGAATGCATAACAACTGTCATATTCCTGACTTGGTACAGGAAATTTCTTATGTAGAAAATGGTGGATTGAACCTGGTTTTATATCTAGCTAAATCTCTCACTTGTATGACATTCGCATTAAATTCCATTATATTGACAACGATGCGTGAACAAAACAAACAGACACAATAGGTTAAAATGTCAAAAATAAGGGTACAGCAGTCAACATTGTGCTATAATCTTAATCACTATAAAACAAACAAATGTAACAAAGACGCACAAAAAGGCATACAACAAATTTAACAACCTCATTTTGCTATTTTATTATACGATTTAATTTATATATGTAAAATCATCCCATAAAGGATTGAAATATTTTAAGTACTGGGACCGAGTCCTAATCCTGACAGACACATGGTTGGATTAACATTAACTTAGACGTAGATTCGCGCGTTTGACGTCACACGGGTAGAAATAAAATAAGGATATATTTCTACTGAAAACCAAAAGATAATGGGCATCCATACATGACACAAAATCAGTACATATACAGCAAAACACAAACAAATATTAAAATATGCTGTTTTATTATTGCATTCCGAACTTCTTAACACAACGTAGGTGTTTAAGTTGAGGTTCTTTTTACAAAATGTTAATTGACCTTGACATAGTTAGAGGACAACCGATCCATTTTACATAGATTTATATCTGAGGAATTATAAAAGAATGAAAATCTAGAGATCGATTTGGCTTCTTCCGAAATTAAATGTGCATGATGGTTACTAAATATTTAGGTCAATGTAGCATACTACTTATATAAAAATAAGGAGATGTGGTATGATTTCCAATGAGACAACTATCCACCAAAGTTCAAATAAAGTGGATATGAGAAATTATAGGCAACCGTACGGCCTTCAACGACGAGAAAAACCCACACCGTATAGTCGGCTATAAAAGGCCCCGACATGAAAAATATGAAACAATTCAAATGAGAAAACTAACGGCCTAATTTATAACAAAACAATTCACGAAAAACAAATATGACGGACGTAAACCAACGACAATCACTGAACTACAGGTTCCTGACTTGGGACAGGTAAATTAGGAATGTGGCGGTGTTAAACATGTTTGTGAGCACTCAACCCTCCCCTAACCTGGGACAGTGGTGTAACAACACAACATAAGAGCGAACTATAAAAATCAGTTGAAAAAGGCTTAACTCATCAGATCGATACAAAGAAAAACATCAAACATATACACAAACAGGACGTGACAGAGTATAGATCCATCCCCCATCCCTAACAACATAAAAGAAACTAATGACAGATCTGAGAGTGCTCGCAGTTACTGACAGCTAGTTCAAAACCAATAACAACTAATAAAACAAATGATGCATTGCATCTAAGACTAAAATATCAATCAGTACAAATCTAACATACAATGGATTTAGTGCAAAGACGTCATTAATAGTCAGAGAAAAACATGAATTTGTGCAATGCCAAAATATAGGTATCGACATATTGTACTACAGTGAAAGTACATATGTTTAAAATTCAGAATTATTTTAATTTACTCATAACAAAATCAATATTGATACCAATAACAACAATATTTAAAGATGTAATTACAGTGTTGAATAGGTAACCGTTTAGAATACGTTTATTTAAAGGATTTATAAGTTTACCCGGGTCGTATTTAAATTTCAGGGCTCGGTTAACAACATCACCGTAAAATTTAGGATGTGATATTCCGTTCTCTACAGGTACAGCCAAACTTGCAAACCAAACTTTTGTATGAAGTAAAGGTTTTATGTAATTTGCGGTAACGAAATCCTTGACTTAATACTTCACCAGTAACACATAGATAACGCTCATTGAAAATATTTTGGAATATACATTTTGACAGTTAACTATCGTCAAAACTTGTTTATTGACATTAATATATGTTAATGCTGCTGTCGAATTATTGCTGCACTATCTATGACAGTTACCTTGACCTCCTTTAAAAAAGAAATATATGAATACAATGTATCCTATCCAGCAAACAAGGCTAAGTTATTAAAACCGAAATAGAACAAAATGAAAGGTCGGTGTCAATGTTTTTGAAATATAATCAATTGAAATTTTACGGGAATTGATTCTCTCTTGACTTTTCATGTATTTAACTTTTACAGCTTTTATTTAAAAAAAAACGGCGAAAAAATAGCAAGTAGAAAGATATAAGAAGATGTGGTTTGAGTGCCAATGAGACAACTCTCCATCTAAGTCACAACTTCTAAATTAAATCATTATAGGTCAAAGTACGGCCGTGAACACGAAGCCATTGCTCAAACCGAACAACAAGCTATAAAGGGCTCCAAAAATGACTAGTGTAAAACCATTCAAACAGGAAAACCAACTTTCTAATCTATATAAAAAACGAGAAACGAGAAAGACTTATAAACCACATCAACAAACGACAACCACTGAACACCAGGTTCCTGACTTAGGACAGGTGCAAACAAATGCTGCGGGTTTAAACGTTTTAATAGGCACCCCCTTCATCCTACCTGAACCAAAAGTGCAACATCACAACATAGAAAGACACACTATGAAATATCAATTGAAATGGCATCAATTGAAACTCAACCAATAGACGTACTAACAAAAACAAGTGAACATACACTGAACGAATAAATTTAATCAATGACACAATGCAACTACAAAATTAATAAAACAACGGGGTTAGATTTAAAATAGTATCAGAAAGACATCCATAACCTTGGACGAAATGCCGCCAGATAAAATAACGTACACAAGAAAATAAAAATAATTTTGTTGTAGGGTATACATGGAGTACGGAAATAATGTTTACAAAATAAATAATGTTGTTGTTTCTAGTACGAGAACAAAAACAAAAGTGAAAATTTATCGTCATACGTAACACTAATCAAAGGTGGTATATATTAAAAAATATTGAGACTAGATATAACACTGAATGAGTAAACATTAAAATAAAAACATTACAAATTGTATCAACAGGTCAAATTAACACAAAATTACGATTTGAGAGTACTCGCAGTTACTGACAGCTAGTTAAAAGCCAAAATCAATTAATAATTAAAAAATCATGCATCCGAGACTAAAATCAACTAAAACACATCCCAGGGATTTAGTGTTTTAACGTCATTGACAGTCAAAGAAGACATGACTTGTGCAATGCCAATATAAAAATCGACAGGCAGTAGGATAGTTAGGAGTTAACCTGTTAATAGATATGTATAATGTAATATTTAGATAGAGTAATCTCTATATAGAAAATGAACGTGGATGTATATTTATACATCCCAACAAACCGTTTGAAAAGAATAACACTTTAGTTATGTTTTAATTTGCTGATATCTGTGCCAATGTAAACTATATTCAAAGATCTAATTACAACATTGGTAAGCTGACTTTGACTAATAAGTTTGTTTAAAGGTTCTATGAGTTTACACGGATCGCAAAGTGATTTCCGCGCTTTAAGCACAATATTACCGTAAAATTTAGGATGTGAAGTACCGTTTTTAATAAGTTTTCAACAGGAATAAATCTGCTATTAAAGGGGCACAGTTAGTGCCCATAGGAATACCTACTACCTGTCGATACATTTTATCGCCGAAACGTACATATATGTTGTCCAGGAGAAAATTTAAAGCTTCAATCATATCTTCACATTTCCAGTAAGTGTATCTAGCATACTTTCCTATTTCGTTACATATTGTTATAAGAATTTAAAACATGGCGTTGTAAAGTATATGTAAGAGAGTATTAAAACGTTAATTAGGGACTAACAAAATTTTAAATGGCAATTCCTCGATATAAAACTAGATAATTCAGAATATATGACGCAAATTCAAAAACAAGTCTAACAAACATTTATTAGTAAGAATATAGTGTGTTGCATTTTATTCTGTGTTTATTTTGAACGCCAAAGTAATACAAGAATGGCAACAATTTGAATATCAAAAGTGAATTCAATACCTTACTAAAATTGTCTGATACTTGAACGGATATATTGTTCAGTAAATTGATGAATAATGTATCTTTCGAATTAAGATTATATAATTTAATGTTAATTAAAAACCTCTTTCAGTGTTTCCGAGATACAGTTTATCATTTTAGCCAAAGAGAAAGGTGTCTGACACGTGTATCTTAGACATGTATTTGCAGAGTATATGGATCTAAAACAATGCTTGGCTTTACATGATCTTAGTTTTATGGAAGAACAATATTACATAAATTCCGAATTCCAAAGCAAATTCAAAAAGGGGAAGTCCATAAAAAGTGACAAAATAAAACTCTATCAATCAACGGAACAAGAGAAAAACAACTGCCACATTTCTGACTTGTCATAGGCAGTTTCCTACAAAAAAAGGTGGGTCAAACCTGGTTTTATTACTTGCTAGTTATAAACCTCCTATTTGTATGAAAGTTTACAAAATTGCATGGGTGAGCACCCCAAATCGGTTTAAGTGACAAAAACTGGGATCCAGCAGCAAACATTGTGTAGACAGACACCACAGACATAAAATTGAACTGATTAAAAAAAAATCAAACACGCATACCAATTAATCTATCAAAGACGCCAACAGGTGTATTAGATAGAAAATTTTACAATGACGTAAAAACAAAGTTTTTCTCGTTGATAGTACATACCATTTATGCTGTTAATACTCTTTTAACAAAAGGGCCGACGGATAATTCAATCTAGTTTGATTTTAAAGTTTACTTGCCAACTAAAACACAAATTAAAAACACAAAAAGGTGTTCTTTGAGATAAAAGTAATATAAATTTAACAATATAAGTAATACTAAAAACAATTAATGAAATATTTTCGATTTTCGATTTTTTAACAGATAACTTGGAATCGGCGTTCAAGTTCTTATTTTCCAAGCTTATCAAAATAGGTGTACATATATAGGATGCATTTTTTTGATGACTATATTTTGTCGTATTCGCAAAATGATAGTAAGACAATAAATACTCTTTATAAAGAAATCCGATGATAACGCTTAGTATTCAGTATACAGAATATGTATGATAGTCACTTGTTTTCAACAAAACGTTGATATATAACAGATTATAAAAACGATAAATAGTACAACTATGCCTCGGTAAATAATTCTTTAAACTTGACAAAGCCGCCTTAACACACAATAACAGATCTCCATCTTATTCAAAGACAGCAAGTGCATATGTTACAATACATGTGTATAAGGAGAAATTATGTATAACCATTGGTAACTAGTATCATGATTATTGGTGATTATATATAATTACTAAAATTTTCAGTAAAAATGCATAACCATTAGAAAAAAAAAACGTCAGGGATGGTACATGATAACGGGAATGATGAGACAACGAATCAACATTAAATAATTAAATCGTATTTAGAAATCTTTAGAAACATACATATTATGATGATTATAATCTTAAACACAATATTCTAATACAAATTGTTTATTTTACAAGCTGCATTGAAGAGTTGGCTGAAATCTACTTTTGAACATTTGCTCTACCTTACAATTTATAAGATTAACCATACACCTCACACTAAGTCCTTGTGTTATCTGAGAAAATTTCCATGTTTCGCAGCCCGCAGGATTTATCTCTTTCAGACATTTCATGATCGAATGCCGTTATATTTTTTTTTGGAATCACCTTATCCTCGATCAACCTGCGAAATTGGTATCAAAGAATCCCAGCAAATGTAGACCTACTCCAAAATAGTTTTCAGTCTGTCAAGAATGCACTCTGTTTGTTTTTCTGTAGTTTAGTAACATTTCTTTACTTATTTTGAATTCCTTGTTCGTTGGAACATAGACACATCAAAACAAATTTTAAATAACTTGCATCCCTTTAATTTCACATATTAGTACATGATCTGAGCATTAATGTTCATATTAATAATTTTAATTGCAAATACATTTGTATTTATAAGTTAATTTGGTTCAACATAGTTAATAGTACGCCACTAGAAAATCTGTTCACTTAAAACTAGATGAATGGACAGGGAAAGAAAACTGTCCACTTAAACCACAAGGTGTTAATACAGTTGAATTATTTGTCTATATTTGATTTTTTTAAAGGAAGGATCTTTGTATAATCCCTAAAATTATGTCATAGAATGTTTTCAATAAGTCTTGAAATTTTCGGTGATTATGTAAAATCACTGGTCATCTCCAGTGATTATACATAATCACTTATGATGTTAGTGATTATGCAAATTCCTTGAAAAAATTGGGATTCTATATAAACCCTGGTTATACAAATTCACTGTTACATATACACTGAACGTCATTAAAACTCAATTTGCTTATTCCGAAAATTGATATTTCGACAATGATGCTCGAAACAAAAATATTTGAAATTCCCAAACAAAGGTTTTGAAAAGCCAAGAATTAAGTAACACACAAGGGAACATCACGTTCTTTTAAATGCGTGTTTTGTTGCCGTTTTTTAATACCTCTAGTTTATAAATGCAAAACTTGTATTTCTTCAGAGAATCTGCTGTTAGTTTGATAGAAGGTCAATAATTTAAAGATTCATTTAAATGAAAATAATTGTGAGATAAACTGATATTTAATTAACCAAACGAAAATAATAACAAAAACAAATCTTCGAGAGATATTATACAATCATCGACAACTGACAAGTGTTCCTTTAGCATACCAAGCTCTGGAACGTCCCGAGTCTATAATTATGTAAATGAATGTATTTGCATTAACAGGAACTCTTCGTTTAACATTATATTATCATCAGGCTTAACTTACAGTTGATACAAGTATGTCATTATGAATAACAGATCAAAAGAGATTTTTAATGTAAAGAATTTCCGAAATATTTGATTTCTTTCATGTCTCTTTAATACAAAATGAGAGAGAAAGGTATGTACAGTAATCACAAAATGCCACTGGAATCAATTACTTTTTTTACTCCGGTTCATTCAACAGATTGTATGTTGAAACGATTGTATTAAGGTTGTTCGCTACTCTGTTTCAAAATAACAATCTTTTTAAAAGATAGTATATAATTAAAGTTACTAAAACAGTCGAAAAAAATGAAGGGTCCGTGTGCTTGTTTTCGAGATATAAGCCATTGAACATTTGGCGGGAAATAATTCTCTCTAGATGTTTCATACATTTAAAATTGGCACTTTTTCTTTCAAAAACTACGAAAAATAACAAGGATTTTATAAGATTTAAAAAAAATTGCTTTTCAAACTATATGAAACAAAATTATGAAAAGAAAAGTACAGGTTAGTGGGAAAAATTTTCATTGGCATTACATGGATAAAACTAGAGGTTTCCGAATATCTGGCAAAAATTCCAAAACAAGGGAGCAAACATCCTTAACATAAAAACAAAAACGAATCATTATCGATTGTTACGACTTAAAAGGAATACATATGGTACCTATATAGTGTAACTGTTAATTTATATAGAGCATATCATATGCAATAGCATTAACATTACCAATGATTATGCATCAAAGGCGCATTTCCCCAGTAAATGTCTCTTCAGTGATGCTCGAGGTGAACACATTTTAAAATCTTTAAATTAAATTAAAAGCATATAAACCAAAAAAGGACAAACATTATAGTCAAAGCCGGGTAGAGAAATAAGGAATTGGTCAATCAATTCCTTAGGAAAATCACAATTGACAGCAGTTATTATACAGATGAAATAAATGCTGCTTACTAACCAACATAGATATCAAACTAAACCGTAAATTTTACTTATAATGCTTGGTCAATAACTTGTGAACAGTTTGTCCCCGAATGCATCAGCATTCCAGTAGCAAGTTATTTAGTAATAACATGACAATACGAATAGTGTCTTATTAAAATGTTGTCTTATACAATTTTAAAACTATTCTGAACTAAGTAATATATCTCCCTCATGTTTAGTGTTGAAAACTTTTTCGAGTTTATTTCTTTGCTTTATTAGATCCTCAACGATGGTTTAATGTTGTGACGTTTATTTGTTTTGGCCTCAAGCATCACTAACGTGTCATAAATTATCTAAATGCACATCTGGTGATGTACAGTTTGTACTGTTAACGGTAATAAGTGTTAGTTTTACCGAAGCAAAATATGATATCAAAAATCTTACAATGAGTTTAGGGAAGTCAAATTCCTAAATGTTGTCGGTTGTATAGATTCAATAAGGTTATTGCCGAGATCTCTGAAATAAATGATATGATACGTTATATATTTTTTCAATCAAAAATACAAATCTATCATACTGCATATAAAGATATCACACCTTTTAAATAGAATTGAGAATGGAAACGGGGAATGTTTCAAAGAGTCAACATCCCGAACAATGAGCGGAAAACAGCCCAAGGCCATCAATGGGTCTTCGATGCAGCGAGACAATCCCGCATTAGGATGCGGGCTTCAGCTGGTCCTTAAATAATAATGTACACTAGTTCAGTGAAATTGGCGCCACATTAAACTCCGAAACATTAACTCAAATTAGAAAAAAAAAACAAAGATTAACAAAGGCTAGATGTTCCTGAATTGGGACAGGTGCAAATGTGCCGCGAGGCTGAACATGTTTTGTGAAATTTCAACTTTCCCGTACACTATTTGGAATAAACAGACTCAAAGCAAATAAACTCATCATAGATACCAGTATGTATTTGTGCCAGACACTCGTTTCGTCTACAAAAGACTCATCAATGACGCTCGAATAAAAAAAAAGTTAAAAAAACCAATCAAAGTACGAAGTTGAAGAGCATAGAGGACCAACAATTCCTAAATGTTTTGCCAAATTCAGCTAAGGTAATCTACTCCTGAGGTAGAAAAGCCTTAGTATTTCAATTATTCAAAGTTTTGTAAACATTTAATTTATAAGTATGACCTTATCAATGATAATTCATGTCAACACAGAAGTGCTGACAACTGGGATGCATACAGTAACACTCAGTATAAAAAAGGTCCAAGTATGATGTTTGAATAGGTAATAGAAGAAACTAAACAGCACGAACTGATCAACATAAATAAACAATGGACTACCAGCAGTTACTTACATGGCAGGTCCAGACCTCAATTACATTGATCGAAAAATTGTATCTTCAGCATATGAAAATCATGCTCAATCCTTCTCGTTCAGGGTTACGTATCATGCCAACCGCTTGTTTTAGAATAAACCCCATAAGTGAACCAATATTAATTACAAAAAACGCCATGTTTAATGACTTGACAACAGTATCGTAAGAATATCCCTTCTGAATAAGTCCGATTAAGGGTCTGGTATGCTTTTGAACAGCCTCTCGATAAGTTCTTTTTGTTTTATAAAATACTTATCTATATATGGATAAATATATGTAAACATGTGTTTGTGTGGAATAACAGTGTAATTATTTCTTAATCTAAATCGTAATCATGAATCGTCAATGGTTTGTAGTGTCTCGCATACATCAGGAGTGTTTAGTTATCGTAAAATATCATGTTTATAAGAGACAAGTCACTAAATTATTTTTTGCAGCGTTCCAAAAAACACATTTTCGTCATTTCAAATGAAGTATTTATAATAAAATGTAAATAGTGTAAGGATAACTAATCCTAAACTATTGTTTGTAAAAGAATGTGCAATTATTACTTCATCTAAATGAAAAACATACACTGTCATTGGTTTTTGATACGTTTTGAACACAAAGATGGGCTGCTTTTTATAAGATATGCTTAATATCAGAGAAAATATACTAAAATTGTGTTCGCATTGTTTAAAAATGTCAAAGTTTCTTTCTCTTTACCAAAATTAATGAATTATTTTTTGCATTCAATAATTTTAAATGATCCCGGATAAGTTTTGTTCCTCGTATGTTTACAATGTAAGGAAAAAGATACTTAAACATTTTATGTAGAAATTTGATAGAAATCATTAATAATCATTGGTGTCATACAATTTATTGTGTACATCGATACGGGTTGTTCTCCATAAAGAATGATGAATTTGATATATGATATACCTTATATTTGTTTGTGTTTATAAATGATAATGTTTCTTTTTGTTATTGCAAAGTGTTCTACTAGATTGACAATTAAGAGATAACTGTGTTGTATTTGAAGCTTTGCGGACGTACATCAGTAGTTTTACTGTTGCAAATTTAGTTTACCTGGCAACGTAATAAAATCTGATAAAACGAAGATTTCTAGGTGCAAAATGTGAGTTTTTTTGCTTATTATTGGAGAAATTACATGTCAATACATTCCGGAATTCAAAATGTCGGCTTCCTTAGTTACAGACAGGGAGATTGATAATTTTACGCTTATTGTCATCCAATCAGAAACATTGATACAACATAATTGCATTAGAATATTTGATTGTCTGATTTTTCAGATTATTTTCCGCAAATTTAGCTGATTCTAGTAAACGCAATATACGCCGTTTTTAGCACTCATCAAGTTGAATCACCTATCGTTTGAATTGTTTAAACTTTGTTAAATGATTTAATTATAAATCTAATTCTAAATAGCAAAATCTAAATCAATTACAATTAAACTGTGTAATTATCTGAAACATGCATGGAAAATTATATCATGTATTGTGAATTAATTGTACCTTCATTTAAGAATTGAATGCTTCTTTTTGTAAATTCATTGGGGTGTAAAAGCGTTGACCGAAGTACATTTTCTACGAAGCGCGGAAGCATAATTGTTTTTATAAAAATATAAATAGTAAACTGCATAGATATTTTTTTAATTTTCTGTGTGTAAAATTATTTCATTTGATTACAAAACTTGAGCTTATACACAATGCAAATTATCTTAGACATTTTTACTTTGAAAAATTTGTTAGCAATATTTGACCTACAAAAGTGAAGTATAAAGAGACAGTATAAACAAGAAGATGTGGACAACTATCCATCAAGGTTACAATGCGTAAAAAGTAAACCATTATTGTTTAAATGACGGCCTTCATCATTGCACATAATTAAAACTTATCGACCCTTAACAAGACGATCTGTAGCGAAAAAGTTATCGACCCTTGTTGTGACTGATAAAGCTGCGTATGTCACATTGTTGTCATTTGACATGTCCTTAGATAACGGTTTATTAATGTACTGTCCTTTTTTTGTTAAGGTCTTTATAAATGTACTTACAGGATTTTAAGCTGGTCACAATCATCAAATGTGTTCTCCTTGATTTCAGAAATCTGATTGCCGTAGACGTGGCTTATATCAATAGAAAACAATTCATGTATAATGCCGATAAGTTAGGGATTTCGTTAGACATTTAAAAACAAATATATATAAAATCCTATATCATTTTTTTCCAAATGATCAATTGAAAATGCTAATGATTCTACAGGGTTTAATGTTTCGATGATTTACCAAACCCTGTGATCATGTGATCTATATTCATCCTTTATGAAGTTCTCTATCGTTTATGACATTTAAACGACATTTTCTGTTGGAAATGCTACAATACCTTATTGGAACTTTCATAAAATATAGTTTGAGGACAACTAATTTTCTAATGTTATATCATGCAACATCAAAGCCTTCAATTTATCACAATGTTCAAAATCAGAAGTATAACTATGCAGACCCGTTATTCTATTGATGTACAAGTACATATAAGAGAACATCTAAGATATGATGTTTACCAGCTGAAACCATTGATCACACCTTTTGTGTAACTTATAAGATAATTGTTAACACACAAAATAATTTATAACCTATTTCTTCTCAATGATGTTTTATTGTGTTCTTTGTGCAATTTGTCACAATTATGCTTTTTGTACAGTATGGCATTATACGATTTGCCGCAATTGTTCACTGAGTAAGCATAAGTTATTCAAATATAATTAGTCGTACTAAGTATTAAATAATTATTTATGCAACATGTGTATTAAAATAAGCGTATGTATATGTCTTAAGTAAATTTGCGTATTACAACGTAAATTATTTATTTTGATAGATCCCAGTCATAGTCCTAAGTTACAGGGTATTGAGTTTATGAAATAGTAAGCAGATGGTTACAACATGTACAACTTCATGTATGGCAAATTTTCAGTCAGTTCATAAGTAAGGAGGATTTCGATAACGTTGAACAGCCGTCAATAGAGCAGCATAGACTAGTCGAGTATTCGTTCATATAGTGTTGTCAAGTCGTTCAAGATCTCATCAAATGCGTTAAATTGAAGAATCTTTCAACAGTTAATTTGGACCTTAATATAGTTAATCACAAAGACAGTGTATGTTGACCATTACCACTGCTATTTAATTGTATCTATTTGCAAACTTGTATTATAGCGTATTGATATTTTGTTTAAAGCATTAGTCAATTCTCATATAAGTCCAAACTCCTCCGCCATCACTCGTTTGTACGTGACAACTGGTGTCAAAAATGGAATATGTTTAAAAAGCTTGTAATGTGTCTGATTGTATTTATTAACATTGTTAGTTACCAAATGTGCTCGAATTGTATAGTTTCAAGTGTTGTGATGAAAACTGAACATGCGTGATCTAGGTATTCCAGTATAGCTTAAATTTGTTTGTGCCATGAAAGTTTGGTGCTGTTTTCGTTTCACATTATAAACTGTGAGTATCAATATTTACAGATATTCAGAACATTTAATAATTTATTGCAGTATACTTAGGGTTTTAGTAGGTATTGTAGTGCTACCAATCTTATCACGGTAAACAGTTTAATTCATCGTCAGTACGTAACCAAAGTGTTCCGGTCGACTAGAACACGAAGACAAAAGAGAAATATATCAGACATGCATAAGGTACGTCATTTGTATCAGTTAAGGACAGAACGTGTTTTTGGTGTGGTAAGAATGAACATATTACATTGATTGTAGATTTAATGTAGAACAGATAAACAGTGCATTGTCAGACGATTAAATGAGTTACTATGGTAAGATATGTAATAGGTGTACTACAAATTCTATAGTAGATACTTTTCCTTCTGGTTGTACGAGTATACTTCCTTCGTCTGGTCAGTCAGTCACAAATGTAAGCATGTTTATTAGGTCAGGTTATGTTGTTGGTAAATAATTGACACTGGGTGAAGTGGCATTGTTGTAAAACGTGATATGGTAGGAAATGAGTCATTCAATGGTAGACAGAAGGTTTGTTTATTGGCAGATTGGACAAGAATTGAAGCTCCAATAGCTAGTTACTGACACACCTTTTTACGAGGAGAATGTAAAGGATGGCGTATGGCCAGTCCTGTATGCTACCTATTATTGGTAATGTAGCAAATTCTAGAGTACTATGCAATCCTGATTCTTTGTGGCAACATGGAAAAACGGTAAAAACAAGAGACCAAATAAAAAAGACAAAAGGGAAACTGTTTTCTCAGCTGAAAGTAAAAGATACTATTACAGATGAGGCGAATTCAAATGATATCAATATAACACAACTAAAAGCTGTAAATTTGGATAACATACAAAGGTATGTATTAACAAGTGATACAATGACACGCAAGAATGGAAAAGTAAAGTGGGTATTAGAAGAGGTATAATACACGGACAGTTTTCATCATCAAAACACAATAAAGTAATGTGTACACAGTTGGTAGTTCCGAAGTCTCGAGAGTGGCAATATTTAAACGCTTATTAACATTTGAATATACTATTGAGAATAAACTAATGAATGACATGTTCCTTTATCAATATCGGTTTTCAAAATGTATTTATGTATAGTAAAATGACAAAGTTCGTCTCACATTCTTACTATGAACTTAATTTCTATAAACTAAACGTTTTCCCAAGGTATAGGCTCATACATTTGATTATTTTTTATGTAGAACTAGTGTACCACAAGTTTTAATTAAAGAAACTATCATATTAAATGTGAAGCAAAATAAAAGAATTGACTTACAGATGTTGCAACAACGGCACTACTTTACAAAAATGAACAGCAATTTCTGTTATGTTGTTGTAATTGAGAGTTCTTGGTAAAATAGGAAAAAAAAAGTTCCGTTAAGCATTCGAAAATAAATCTGTATGTTTTATATATCGTATATGCAATCAAAGTCAATATATATGTTAAGTTTACTTCTGGTGGTATTCTAAAATATTGCAGAAAATCATTATAAAGTTCTTGGTTTAACGTAATGTATATTCGTCACATATTTCGTATCATAATCTGTTTTTACATTGTTTGTATGGCATGAACGACTTACACTTATAAGAGAAGCGAGCTATGCAATTTAATAGGGATGACTATATTAGAATTATCAGGAAAAAAATGTATTATTATTTTCAAACAACGTTCGTTGCTAGAACTTTAAGCAATACGATATACAGATCAAATGAATGTATCGCTAAAAACACACCATAACAACGACCTTTTGTTGCTGATAGAACTTTTTTGCTGATTTGGCCTGCTAAATGTATCTGCTTTGATTCGCCAGTGTGTGAACTAAAAACTCATTTTGTTGTCTATGATTATAAACCTGCTATCTTTGATGAGCATGATGAGTTCGTAAACCTGTTTTCCTCCTTCCGATTTGATTTGATTAATATCTAGCATTGTTAATTCCATTGCATTTGTCTTATCAACCATGAGTTTTTAATCTTTTCATTCCTCGTCTCTTCTTGTGTCCATCTTTGGCTAAAGACCGGCATTGGTTATTGGAGTGTTTGGATAATACAAAGGACCACACGGACAGGGATATGTACTTATTTCAGATTAACCAACAAAATCTGTGTGAATACTTACAAGTAGTACGTATCGTCAGAAAGTTCGGGTATATTTCCCAAAGATTTGGACTCACAGTTAACGTAAGTGCCCGATGAATGGATAGAACAGGAACAACTCGACGGGCATGATGCATTTCCTAATCCAGTACTAATCACAATAAGAAAGACGAAAAGTTGACTGTCAATTATCATTCTAATTATGTTGGATCGCTGAAAATACATAATTTGATTCATAAAAAATCTGTAACAAAATTTGAAATAAAGTTAAGTCTACATGACCTCAACTTTACAACTTTTGTTTTCAATTAGCATACTTTCCTGATTTTAATCAATGTATGCGATTGTACTAGTTTCATTTATCAGATCAAATAGACTACTTACATTCGGGTATATACAACAAAGCAACGTAAAGGAGAAGCAGATCCTGCACCACATTTTTGAGGCGTTGTGATTCTCATAGCTAGTACACATTTTAGACACAACTATTCCGTAAAGGCAAAGAAAATTATGAGTGTGTCCTAATTACTTTCAAAGGGATGATTTAAACTGTACCACCAAGTTCCCAAAGCAACGTTCCTCTATCAAGAAATTCATGATAGAAAAGGCAACACTATGTTATGCATGTCAATATATAAGGTAGACTCAACCGTTTCTGTTGTACCTGTATTTCAAGTCCGAGGAGGAAATATGCTGTTACCATAGTAACAAAACTGTATAGTATTGAGTCGGAAGACATACTTACACCTACAATTGAGTGCAGACCAAGCTTTACATGTAAACAGGAGGAAAAAATTAACGCGGGGTTCATCCATGTACACTTCAAGTAATCGCCACGTTAACTCGTCGTTTACTCTACAATTCCAGTAGACACAAACAGTAAACGCGCGTTTACCTCCGCGGATAACGTGACCAATGTGTGTTTACTATTTTTGTTAAAAGTATTTGTGTGTTGACACAGTTTGTCATGGTATCCTGGATACAATGAATTATCATATCACATGACTATATGCCAACTTTCGACAAATATATAGATTTACGATTACGATGCATGATCACGATGGTGAGACATGTATTTAATTAACTGAAAATTTAAAACTGCTCATAAGTAAAAACAGATATTTCTTCCGGAAGCGTAAAACCTTTTAAATTTATTTTCGTGAGTAGACATAGGTTTCAAAACAATTACATGGTCCGAAAGGGCAAATATTGCTTCTTTTATATAATATTTTACACAAATGGTAATAAAATGTACGGTTACTAATACTTGTGTCGATAACTATACAAATTGAACATGTTTAATAAAAATTTAAAGTATACATCGTTAATATAAGTCGATTAACAACAGTCATCTCATCTGGAGCAATACTTTATTTTAACATTCTTATTTGGCAAAAAGATTATACCCTTTACTTATTTATTTCTGTTTGAAATATTCAAAGCACACACCAGTATTTACATGGGGACTACAATTCCTTTTCCTAGAATTAACATATGTACACCAAAATTCGTTATGTTGGTTTCTCTTCCCAGTACTTCAAATTGTCACTGTCAATGGACGAGCAGACACTAAATTGAATGTTATGACAGTATGTTTCTAGAATTGAAAACTAAATTCATAGATTGAAGTACAAACTATCAACCAATAGCTTAGATCCTGGTATCTTTGATGAGTTTATTTAGCACTAAAACCTGATAACTTCATTATTCAATCATCTTTTTTCATTTTAATTTTTCTCAAACCCTTCAAAATTTTATCTTAATGATGTCAAGAGTTATTTTAAACACTCCTTAGTGCATAGTTTTTTTTCAAAAGCAAATCAATTTATTATTATTAATTTTCTAATTTTTCACCTGTTTGTTTTTGAGTCTTGAAAACAAGTAATTCCTTTATATAATGCATGAAGGAGCCAAACTTGTCTAATTTTCTTAGATGCTCCAGCTTCATTTTCGTAACCAAATGTAAACAACTTAAGTGCTTGATTACTTGATCAATTACAGCTAAGATAAAATTCACAATTGACACCCACTACTTTCGAAAGAGCTGTCTCCCATACCCCAGTTCTACCCCCCCCCCCTTTTCCCATTCTAATGCTAAAAACATGACGGAAAACACTCTGCATTTTTTAAACAGATGGAGTGTTTCCTCCACGATAACCTCCGTGTGTATAATACAGATCGGTTTATGTTTTGATCCAATCTTGGTTAATTATATTACAAATTAGTAAGACACGTAGGTGCTCATTTCCTGAGACACAGTTGACCTTAGGTGAATTTGACTGTTTTCGAAAGTACATAAAGGAAATATCCAGAACATTTCAATTTTCATACACAGGAACAATTATATTGGCCTAATGGTTAATATTCTCTGCCCGAAAGTAAAGAAATACCAAAAAAAAGTCAAAAATGCAGGTGCAAGATGAATACGGATCGCCCTACTTTTTGTCTTCCTCTTATGGGAAAAGTCCAAATAACTGTTCATTCCTGGGAAATAATGGAGCGGAGGCTCGTAGGGTCGATGCTTATAATTCCCATGAATGGACAGTTATTTGGACATTCGCTAATTTAAAAAATACCTTAAATATTAAAAGTAAATCTTCAGAGTAAAAGCCTTGATTAGTTTCATTTCATACTACCTATATTATATATTGTATCTTTAGTATTACCCTAATTGAAATTTAAAAACAAAGACGTTCAGAATTCAGATAGCAAATTTGACCATGCAAAATATACATATGTCTTTTTAATTATAAAAACCTCCCAACTTTGTTGTTATTTTGACGGTGATAGTCAGTATCTGTTAGTTTCTCTTAAAATAATATGCATATTTTCAGATTTAGTTTAGGGCTTGCCATGTTGAATACAAAGATATGTAGGCACGATGGAACACTGTTTGGCTACTGTCTGAATGTCGTATTGTTTTTGTTATTTAAATCATGTCTAAGGCATTGCACACGGCTTCATATGGACTTCGGTCTTAAGCATATCGGTCATATTAGGTGTACTTTAATAATAAAATATATTAAGTTTGATAACAATAATTAGGTCTAAATTGAAAACAACGTTCAAACTTATGATTTCGTTGGATAAAAATCGCAATTTTTATACCTGTGCATGCAGAACAAATTTCTTGGTAGAGGGGCTCTAAATACAGCACAAACAACATTTTCTAAAGACCAAGAAAGTGAAAAGTATATTTAAACAAAACGCATTTGACTAACAGGTCGAACAACGGATGCTCTTAAACCCTCCTGACTGCCATTGGCGATTGCCATATAAACGTATCACAAGATGTAACAAAATGGATCTTTATTAAAATTTAATACCAAACAGAAAAAAATAAACTTGCGGAAAAGATGGTATACCAATCCGGATTTTGATAATTAATGTCTCTTCAGTGATGCTAAGAATCGAAACGGTATTTGGAAGGCCATATAATTTACCTCAATTTAGGATAGACTCTTGAATTTTGAAAAGTCGAAATAGGATGAACGGATCATATAAACCCGAAGGTAAATATAAAAGAAGCCCAAACAAAAAAAAATATAAATAATCCTAATTTGAAAACAACGTTCAAACCTATGATTGCGTTGGATAAAAACCGCAATTATTAGACGTGTGCATGCAGAACAAATTTCTTGATAGAGGGTCTAAATACAGCACAATCAACATTTTCTAAAAACCAAAAAAGTTAAAAGTATATTTAAACAAAACGCATTTGACTAACAGGTCGAACAACGGATGTTCTTAAACCCTCTTGACTGCCATTGGCGATTGCCATATAAACGTATCACAATATGTAACAAAATGGATCTTTATTATAATGTTATACCAAAAAGAAAACAATAAACTTGCGGAAAAGATGGTATACCACAAACATGAGGTGCAAAAATTTGTACACCATATCCGGATTTCGACAATTAATGTCTCTTCGGTGATGTTAAGAATCGAAACGGTATTTGGAAGGCCATATAATTTACCTCAATTTAGGATAGACTCTTGAATTTTGAAAAGTCGAAATAGGATGAACGGATCATATAAACCCGAAGGTAAATATAAAAGAAGCCCAAACAAAAAAAATATAAATAATCCTAATTTGAAAACAACGTTCAAACCTATGATTGCGTTGGATAAAAACCGCAATTATTAGACGTGTGCATGCAGAACAAATTTCTTGATAGAGGGTCTAAATACAGCACAATCAACATTTTCTAAAAACCAAAAAAGTTAAAAGTATATTTAAACAAAACGCATTTGACTAACAGGTCGAACAACGGATGTTCTTAAACCCTCTTGACTGCCATTGGCGATTGCCATATAAACGTATCACAATATGTAACAAAATGGATCTTTATTATAATGTTATACCAAAAAGAAAACAATAAACTTGCGGAAAAGATGGTATACCACAAACATGAGGTGCAAAAATTTGTACACCATATCCGGATTTCGACAATTAATGTCTCTTCGGTGATGTTAAGAATCGAAACGGTATTTGGAAGGCCATATAATTTACCTCAATTTAGGATAGACTCTTGAATTTTGAAAAGTCGAAATAGGATGAACGGATCATATAAACCCTAAGGTAAATATAAAACAAGCCCAAACGAAAAAAACTATAAATAAGTCTAATTGAAAACAACGTTCAAACCTATCATTGCGCTGGATAAAAACCGCAATTTTAATACGTGTGAATGCAGAACAAATTGATTGGTAGAGGGGCTTCAATACAGCACAAACAACATTTTTCAAAAGACCAAAAAAAACAACTGAAAAAAGTATATTTAAACAAAACGCATTTGACAAACAGGTCGAACAACGGATGTCCTTAAACCCTGCTGACTGATTGGCGATTGCCAAATAAACGGATCACATAATGTAACACAATGGATCTTTATTATAATTTAATACCAAACAGAAAACAATAGACTTGCGGAAAAGATGGTATACCACAAACATGAGGTGCAAAAAAATGTGAACACCATATTCGGATTTCGACAATTAATGTTTCTTCAGAGATGTGAGGAATCGAAACGGTATTTGGAAACCATATAATTTACCTCGATTTAGGATAGACTCTTGAATTTTGAAGAGTAGAAATAGGATGAACGGATCATATAAACCCGAAGGTAAATATAAAACAAGCCCAAACGAAAAAATATAAATAAGTCTAAATTGAAAACAACGTTCAAACCTATGATTGCGTTGGATAA